GAAAAAAGACCCAATGATGGTCACTTTGTGACCGTAGTATGAAACATAGTTGTATGTGATTAGCATCTGTTGGTCCTTAGTGACTTTCCACTTGGGGTCCTAAAGGTCGTTGGGCACACTGGCTCGAGACTATTAGATATGAACTAAATTAGGATCTAGTGGTGACCTTGTTTTAGTTCTATAAATACCAGTTAAAAAGATGAACTCCATTAACTGGAAGGAATTTTGCTTTTCTGCACTATACTTGCCTCAGTTTTTTGCTTGCTGTTACTTAATGTGTGGTACAATTTATTCGGTTCGCTAATGTACTAAAATGCTTTTTATAAATTAACTAAATGATGAAGGATCTGGCCAATTATATTAATTTTTACCGTGGGACTCATTACTAGTTTTAATGTCGTTGCCTTCAACGTTCCATCACCTGACCTACTTTGTAAACATTTAGAACTTAAACTGCTCAATAAATAGAAATACATCACATAGACCTAAAAGCAATCAGTGGATGGGTAAAATGTATCCACTTTACAATCAGTTAAACAAGAGGATATATTTCCCAATCATCTTATGGACAATTAAACAATCGTGTCATCACAATACCAAAGACAACGAGTTCCCACTCATGTTCACGAAGCACTACCCTTTACAAATCCACAATAAGTTGTCTAACAGGTCCCCAAATGCCCTGGTACGACCGAGAGTGGGAAGATACTGCTCTCCCTCTCGAAATGCTCCCACATGACCACGAGTATACAGCCAATGCCAGGCAAGTCCTACTCACTGTCTTCTCTCAGTGGGGGTGTTGTTTACGGCATTGAGAGGACGAAAAGTGAATGTCTGACGCTTTAACCAGATTAGTGGACGCGGAGAGTTCACCTAGGAGAGTTGGAAAACCCCGATTCCAAACCAATGGTGCACATGGGCTCCAGTATCCTGAAGGGACAAATGGCGTGTGAAACAATTATTGGTCACCGGCTACCATGGGACTGCATCTCGTGACGTTGCTCCACTGCCTTGTGGATAAGACCTTTATGTCGAAGACTCCGGATGTGGCTCCCTAATAGAACCACCTGCTTTGGTCTGGGCACACGGGCAGTATCCCAGCCCTCACACAAATCAAATGATATTTGTGTGGCGCTTATGTATCTGGTGCCCCCTTGTACCAATATCTATGTGTTCAAATAAGTAAATGTCTAATAGTTTTTCATGCTTTTGATATATAGTAATTCCTCAGTTCAATGAAAATGTGTACGTTTTCATACGATTTGCAGATGCTTCACTTTTCAATAGATTTAGTGTTGATAGAGCCGAGTTCAAGATCATTTACTCTCTTGAGTTGCTTTTTTTGTGAAAGCTAGTGATACTATCCAGTTGTCCAGTCTTAAGTATGTGGGGCGGGATGTCAACTTGTAACCTAGTGGTTGAGAGTCTGGTGCTTTTCACTCGTAATATATCTCATACATGTTCGGTAGATTATTTTTCGTCGTCGCCTTAAGTCAGCCCTCTGTTCATACTAGAACTAGTTCAAGAAAAGAATTTTTTCGCTTTGAATTAAAATAATGTCACATCCTTCACTTTAATTTTCGGAATTTTATCTTCTACTATGAGATCTATTTAGGATGCTTAAAAAATTCAAGTATTTTTATGGTCATCTTGATTCGCTTTTTGTTTATTGTATTCTGTTTTCATAACTAATATTTTCGAAGGGCTAAAACCGAATGACCAACAATATCGACTTTGTGTCAGCTATCCATTGTGGCCATTCAGAAGCAAAGTTAACTAGATCAAATTCTGACGCACCTTTCAAATCGATACGCAGAGTTCGTTTTCCTGAAGATGACAAACTTATATCAGATTATTTAGAACCATTCCGACTAAGTAATTAAACAATTTTGATTATTTTTTACGAACTAGCTTTTACTTTCTATTTGTGTGAAAATGCTTTGTATCGAATAATTTAGAAAGCAGTGATGATTCGTTACAAATAGATAACAATAGAATATTGAAGTAACATTCTATAGTTTTGGTATTGTTTGTAAAATTGCTATTTTCATCCCGATTAAAAGTGAAAGCTAATGTGAATGCTACTCTTTTTCCATCAAATGCGCATATAGTTTTTGACACGGAAATGGTCAAAAACGTTCATGCTGATTTTGTATCTTGGATTTATGGGGTGACCACAGCAAACATTTGGATTGATTAGATATTGCGGAAAAACCGTATAAATGCTCCAGATATATTTAATTAATTTAAAGATGAGTGACATAAAAGATAGAAGACTTTATTTTACTTTGCAAATAGTACAATTATTCATTTTTATAGGATTCATAAACATGTATATCTACCCTCAGCTGTGTCCAAGATATATTGCATAAAAAGGCAGCTCAACAGCTAATCCAATTTAGTTGATCCAAAGTCTAACTAGATCATATAAGTTTAATATTTCTTAGTATACTGGTGTACTTACATCCACTGCTGTTATTGAATTCTAGTTATTTAGTTCCTTTTCTTTTTGGATGTTGAGACTGTTTATAGCTTTATTTCAATTTGTTAATTTGCCGCCATTCAGATGTGCAAATCCGATTTGTTTCTCTAGCTTTAGACTACACCTTATAAATATCTCCATAGGTGGTTACATTAAGCACAACTTATACTTCGAAAAGATTCGCGATCTGACATAAAATCCTGCGATCATATATTTCATCCCAAAAGTAGACTACTGCATTCAGCATCTCGTACATGCTTTGGGTGATTTAAATTTTCTTAAATCCGAATTAGTCTTTTATGTTGACTTGAAAAAAAAGTACAGACCTTTTCTAAATCTCTATGCCATTATTTCGTACAGATTTTATTAGTTCTTCTCAAACTATGTTCTGTATCTTCATTTACAACTATCATTAACATTATTAATTTGGTTTACTTGGTCTTTTCGTTGTCTCAATAGTTGGTTAGTCATAAAGAACATAGAATCTGGGAGATTTGTGCATCGGTCGAAGTTTCTGTACCGTATTTGCATAAAGGGATGGAATTATCAAGACGAATATCAGAGTGGCTTTAGTTTAAGTGGTAGTGAAAAAGATTAACTTAATATTAGTGGGACATTTGACAGCCTGGGTTGATACTCACTTATGCACCTTTCTGGCAAGTAGTTACTATAGCGTAAATACAATCTTTAAATTGAGTCTGATATGTCTTAAATTGCTCAATCATTTGGTTTGTTAGATTTTATATTTTTGGTGTTTACTTAACTTAGTTTTGTCCTATCCCTTTGTTTCCTGTAGCAAGCATTATTGTTTTAACGTAACTAGTATTTTCATTTTGTTCCTTCAGTTCCAGATAATTGTTCAAGTGAAGAACTTCAGGCGGCGTACTTTTCTTCTTGTTTTGAGCATAGAATAACTCCCATTAATTTTTTGTTAGAACAAATAAAGGTGGGCTCTTTGATTATTTAGTGTAATTTTATTATCTATTTAAACACATAAACATTGGTACAAGACGGCATCAAATGTATATGCACCACACTTCGTCATTCGATTTGTGTGAGGGATGGGATACTGTCCGGGCGCCAAAACTGGGGCAGATGGTTTTCTTAGGAGACCATTTCCTGAGCCTTTGACTCAGAGGTATAGTTCACCAGGAGTGGAGCAACGTTGGGAGATGCAGTCCCATGGTAGCCGGTGACCAAAAACAGGTTTATGCGCTGTTTGTTCCCTCAAAATCCTGGAAACTATGTCCATCATTGGTTTGTAGTCAGGGTTTTCTAACTCCCCTAAATGGACCCTCCATATCCATCAGTCCGGTTAAAGCGCCCGACATTCGCTTTTCGCCCTCCAAATTTCGTAAACAACACATTCCGCGAGAAAGCAGTGAGTGGGACGTCCGTGACAGTGGCTATATACGCGTTGCCATGTGAGAGGGAGAGCGGACTCTCTCCATCCTCTACCGTACCAGGGCATTTGGGGTTAATTTGGTATAAAATTGTTTTTTTTTCTGTGGTTATTCATGAATGGTATTCTGCCTATAATTTTATGCTATACCGAACTTGTTAAAGATATTAGTTTCAACATCATACTAGCAGAAACTGATTTAAGGCAAAGTATATTATTTAGAATTATAGCATGTGTATTTAGGATCATTTTTAATATAAAATGAAATAAAATCGTTAATGTTGGGATGACTAATATAAAGTGTTAAGTTGTGAGATAAATGATCAAAATAAATATGATTAACATGGAGTGCGAGAGATAATAATGTAATTACTAATCAGAAATCACGTAATATGTAGGATGATATGGATTGGATACGAATCGATAAATAAGAGCGAATGCTGAATAAGTTTCTTATACACGTTGGCAGATGTTAAAATAATAATAATAATATGTAAGGATAATATAAGTTTAAGCTATTAAAATGACTACTGACCAAACTACGTCACCATATCACAACTAATTAACCCAGAAGTTGACCAAGGCAACACGAGCAGTTGAACATATTTCTTCTAGACTCAAAGCTCCGGCTTTTTGATCCAAATAGCTATTGCTTCAGCCGTCTGAAGGATTCCTAGTCTGACGGATTTAGATAGATTGCTGTTAACACGGTATATTATTGTGAAGGATTGCTCCATGTTGGCTGTACTAAATTAGCTAAAATCGAGTTGTTAGTAGTTTCAACTATACCTTTGCTTAACCATACCGGGAGGTGCTCACGAGCCCGAAAATGCAAATCTCCAGAAAACTGATGTAATTTGCATTAAACCTGGATATTTTTTGGATTATTAATTTGGGTATATAATTGTTATGACATGCATCTACCACTTATCACGTGACAAAATCTCCAATTAGAACACTGGCTTATATGACCTAGTTCCTGCACCAAACCAATGACACGTCAACCAACACTAGCAACCCTGAGTCAACTCTGTATCCTTATTGGTCCTCAAAATAATAACGTCTCGCATAACCTCGCCTGTCCAGAATATAGACTTAATCTCCACTGAATGAATAAAGTATTTAAGGCATACCTGGTTTATATACAAGCAGACTTAGCTATATACATAACGAACCAATCAAATCGTTGCTTAAGCTCCCACCACGTTAATCTGGTTTGATGTGTCTGCAAAGTATCCCTGCTGCATGTGACCTACCAATTGAAAGATATTATTACCGTGTTATATTAGTATGATTCATAATTTTTATTCATTTCGATAAGATGCGTAATACTGGTCGGAGATCTTGAGGATTTGTCGTATAGATATACTACAAGAACTGTAAACGCGATACTGGCGATCCCATAGTCTATGTGAAGGTTATAGTTAGAACAAGAACAACTTGGTGAAGAGGTCTCACCAAACAAATGTACTTTCATCCTATAGGTTTCTGGTTCATTTCTTATGTCACCCTGTGGCCACCACAAAGATCTAAGGGCATCGCGATCCTATGACGGGACAATCACTTGATGAAACATAGCTTCAATATCTGCCGTGAGACCTACTGGTCACATCGAAATCTGATGAAAACATCTTCCAGATTGTTAACTAAATCTGAACCAGAATACACGTTTTTATTCCAGGACGTCTCGGTGTATTGTGCTGCATAGTTGAATACGATTCTTAGCTTATTAGGTTTTTTCGAACGGAAGACAGAGTGGTGCAGTAAATACCAAACCCGACACCTAATGGAGTTCTCTATAGTATTCTCGGCATAACCCCGTTCAACATACTGTGCCATCACATTAAAATATTCTTTATGCAACCTCTGGCCACGGATGAGCCGTTTTCTCAAGGAATTTAATCTACTTATTGCTAGTTTTCTATTATTAGGTAGGCTTTGTTGGTGACGCCAGAGTAAAGCTATTTGGTAATGCTCGTTCACTAACTGTATAGATTTGAATATAGCATCCAAGGCTTTACAATCTTCAACCGACATGAGCACACGGTGATTTGGGTCTTCTTCAAATCCCATCTTATATAACTGGTCTAATCTTGCTTCTAGTTCATCTTTAGACGATAGATAATTTATGATACCTATTTATCTCGTGGTCTCATTGTAAGGTTCAAACAACGTCCACCCTAAAGGAGTTTTTATAGCGTATGGCTCGTCAGATTTTCCCACTCTCTTCTCTTTTATTTCATGCACCTCAGGCAAATTACACTCCATCGGTGTTTTGACGTCTTCGTTGCTAACTCATGGGAGCGTCACGTTGCGCTAGTGTGAGACCACGATGCCATCTGAGATATCATTGGTAACGTCTTACATAACATAGGTAATCTCTCGACTGTATATACCTTTGGAATTCTAAGTGATGAAGACGAATATAAAGAGGAAACTTCTCGTCGAACCACTTTACAATGAAATGCGGATTGGCTATCCAGCGTTTTCAATAAAAGCGTCTTAGATTGTAGCTAGAAGTTTTGGTTTATATATATATATATGCAATCAGTGACCGCGCAAATCAATTATCCGCAGTGTGAACAGGCCAATCCATTATGTAATAAGATATGCAAACGCATAGAGATTGGCTTTTCATATATATAAATAATTTCTGTTACAGTAATTGTTTTATTGTTTCATAGGGAATCGATTTATCGATTTGTAATGAACGTTACAGTCGTCTAAGCCTAAGAGGTACGTTTTTATATTTATAATTGTTTATTTATTCTATTTGAAAGTAATATGTATACCGTTATGCATATCGCTGTATACACACATAATTCACGTTATCCGTTTAGGTGTGTCTCATTAGTTTGTGGAAATAAAGGTCACTTGCAGTTCTTTTCATCAGATTGGTGACCAGTTTTATATCTCTATTGGTGTATGTATATAGTTTCCGAGTTGATTAGGTACATAGGTACACAAGATTAGACTGAAGGTGGGGATCATTTGATTTAAAGCTTATATTTAACGGGCTAACGAAATAATTGATTCATTAATTGGAAACATGTAAAGCCTAATACAAGAATGCATCTAATCAAGATGGTTACTTTTCAAAACAAATATAGTTACGGAAAGTTAACAGAGATAAATAAATGAGTTTGAGTATGTTATTATTATCAAGATTAAGCCCGACCCAATCTCGATGTGTATGGTTTTTCAAACACATCTCAGATCGTTAATTTATGACGTTATGTACTCCAACCCCCTTTTAGGTTTCCTCCATTGTAATAATATTGAATTTCACATACAAGTAGACTAGTTCAGTTTAGTACGTTTAATATTAGTACAGAAAAGGAATAACGAGCAAAAATACATGCGAGCAAATGCGAAAATGAATAAACGAATAGATGTTTAGTAATGAGATATTCAAGGTTTATTCGAATAGCTTGCTGATGTGGCGTAATAGAATGAGGATAAAAAGATACAATTAGTTTATGTCACAAGAGGATGGTTGCTAATATAATTTTGTTAGGTTACGTTGGCATATAGAAACATCCTAAATACAGTTTTAACAATATTGCTATTCAGTGGCTTGAACTGTTGTTCGACGGAAGTCATAATAGAAACCGATGGCGAGTCTTTTGTACTTTTCTGTTATTCTTCGAAAAATGGCATACATCCAAGACAAATGAAATCTGTCATCTCTTCCTTTTCTCCATTTAGTATTTTTATATTTTCATCAATTACGTTATTTTTTTCTAGTTTTCTCTCAATATTCTTATTTCACGTCATTCAATGTAATTGTTGGAACTCTATTTAATGTATTATAGTCGCTCGTACTATGTCAAGCCCACATAGGTTATTCTAGCCTCTTGACAGATCAGTCTATTCATTTATCTCAAGCCACATTTCGACTCTGTCAATTATTCGCTTATTAACTCTGACCGTTTTTATATGATCACATATATGTTAATTACTTACCCTATTCATTATGTGTCTGTAACTTATTTTTGTTTGACTACAAATATCGAGTCACGCTTGATTAAACCGAGTTGGCTCACTCGCCTTCTCCATGGCGCGTTATTTCGTTTCGCTTCGTTTCTCTGATCGTCTGTCTGGATCAACGACTGTATGAAATATACGTATTCAAAGTCCATTCTCGTATTTGACTTATTTTATTCCGTTATTCACTAACGCGATTTAAGTCGATGGTCATATACAAGGGTAGCCGAGATATATATTTCGATACGGATTATTCGTACGATCTAATTGGCGTCAAGATAAACGGTCACTAAAATATACTTCACGATTATTACCATATTTTTGTCTTTCTCTGCACTTTATCTTTAGCGAACGAAACATGTTTTGACAGACCATAACTTTCTCTTCGTAGCATGTAACTTCCACGTTATGCACTAGAGATTGGCAATCTCTGTTAACGTACATATCGTATTTTTTCTAACTGAATCACATTTCTTTTCTTATTGTCTTGCATTCCAGTATTCCATTAATCAATAAGCACTTTCAATAATTCTGTGCTTTGTCTAGATCAATGTATATATGCTCTTCACTTTCTGTTCTTTTGAAATTATATTCTCGCTACTAAACTACGTATTATTTGACCCTTAATTGATTTGTGAATATGTCATCAGTGTTATCCACTAGTTCTTTGCTCAGACTATTCCATTATCATATTTTCGTAACTTTTTCTTTTGAATTGTCTCCATACATGAACCATAAACCAATTTTATATTTGATTAGTTCCAGAATTCTTTTTTCTATGTGTATCTCCTGATGTATCACATTGATCTCAAAAAAGTGTACATGTTTATCTATACATATATTGATAGGTAGCTGCAAAACGTTTTCTTTTTTTAAACACTCAACATTGATGAAGAAATAGGTAAAGCTTACCATTAAGATTTTTTTTTTGCATGAATTAGAATGTATTTATGTGCTGCTAATGTAGATACACTTCATATACAGACATCTGTAATATGGATTACACCCAAGTTATATTGCATACGTAATTGTGTGATAGTATGAAGTGATATTTTTCTTGCAACAAAGAAATAATTGTCAGATGTAATAAAAGAACTATAGTAATGATGTTATAAAAATGATATCTACTGGTCACCTTTGACCATCTAATTTGTTTTCGTTAGATAAATGAGTTTTTTATGTTGAATTAAAGTGGCTGCAAGCAATAGTGCCACTTCCACTGATTATATCATTTTGACATTTTTGTTATCAGCTTTGTTAATTTGCTTTCCCTTTGGTGTTGTAAAGTGCATTCACTTGAACAAATATAGATTCAGCCTAAGTTCATTCTTTTAGATAATATTGAAACTCAGTAGATTATGTTACCATCATTCATTTCGGAAGAGAATCAATCAAAAACTAACTATTCTCTTAGAGCACACATATCAGTCGCTGATCATACTGTTATACTGGCACACTTTCCTCCGCATCTTTCCAAAGAACAGGAAGATATGTTAGAGTATAAAATTGTAAAAATGTATTAAAGAACAATTTGTAAAGGGTATTTGTTCCCATTAATCGAAATATTCTATTTATCTATTTAATTGAATTGTAGTTTTGTTTTGCTTCTATTCTAGGTATTCGATTGAATCGATTTCATATTGAATCAATGGAGGCAATATTTCAGCGTGCACATTTCAGAGTAATTGATCTAGAAAATACATTTTTAGACGAACAGGTGACTTCATATCGTTAGCTAGTTATATTAATATATATAGATATATATTACATGCTAAAGCTGGTTTTCTTAAGAATTTTGTGTAATGCTCTATTCAGTATATACAATAATTCATAAACACAGTACCATTTAAATCATCAATCTATTGATTAGTAGAGAAATAGAGTGATGTGATGTATTAATAAAAGATGTTAGTGTTTTGCCAATTAAAACATGTAAAATAAAAAATATGTTGGAGAATGTATATGTGTGCGTGCAATACGTTTTATCAAAATATCGAAATAATGGTTAACGAAACAGATTCCTATGAATATGCATTAGGTTAAACTAGCCCTTTTACAGTCAGAGATTGGGACTTTTGTGGTCCTCAACGAATTCAAATTTGAAGTGTAGTTCATCTGATTTTGAGTTAACTTGCAAAACAACATCTGTCGAGATAACCTCTTCAAGGTGTCGGGAAGCGTATCCCCAGTATTGGGAAAGTTTAGTAACTTATCAATAAGCGTCCGAGCTAAGATATGTTTCAGATCAAATTCTTCGGCTAGTGTTTCGAAGGCTTTACAGCAGCCAGCTTCCGACTCTAGTAGGGCCCAGTGTATTATGACTGCCTTAGCTTCGTCACAACACTGAGTAACGTAATTTAACTTTCCAAATACGATACTCTCGTTAGCGACACACTCTTCGAAACTCCTCATAAAATTCCAGCACTTTGCAGAGTTGCCCTCGAATTTTATAATTTCTATCTTCGGAAACTTCGAAATGTTCATTATAATATACCAGGATAGCTACTAACTCATGGTGAAACTGATTCGATTTCGCAGCTTGTTTCCTTGTTGAATATTTGTTGACAAGATTTTTCTTGCTGTTTTTAGCTCAGTTTTTTCCATTCATTTTCCTTCTCTAACCGAGCCATAAGTAACTTTTTTAATTCCGTCTATCATAGAATGAAAGAGAGCGAGAACAAAAAATTGAGCAGAATAACATGAATTCATTTTATTTCGTTAGGTTGTCATCAGCTGCTTACAGCCCATAATACTTAAAAATCAAAATTATCGTAAAGTCCAAGTGCTTATAACAGTAAAATCAGATGTGTATCATCATGGCAGAGTAATGAGATTGAAAACACAAAGTGTTGTAAATATATATAATATAATAATTATAGAATTAATCTTATAGCCGTTCCTGGTCGACACTATGAGTCTGTGAACGATTCATGAACAGTTCTGGAAATTCTTCAGTATCACAATACTTACTAGGACGCATCTCAGCAATATGCGTAGTGGTTATTTAATGATAAGTGATGTACTGTTCTAACTTTTGTAGGATTCAACCACCTACAAATAAAGTTTTCTAAACCGAATAATTTACTTGTTAAGAAGAAATAATGTAACCTATTTATTAAGCCTAGGTTTATTTACTCAGACTAAGTCTTATTGTTTATGTGATGACATGATCGATATGTCCAAGTGGAATTAGTTAAAGTGGGGTTCGAACTCGTGACTTGTTAAAAGCGAATTGCTGCCTTTTCAATATATCACCGTTTACCAATATAAAATCTCATTTTTTTACCAGTCAAATTATCAGTTAATAAACGTTTTATTCCTAAAAAGCGTTGTATCATGTAACTAAGTTCCTTAAGGGCTTGTGATTTACGACTGGTAAATCCATGTGTTTATCGTCCACATAATTGTTCTTAAAAATGACCTAATTATCCTTGGATGAACACAGCATACTCTGGACTGCTAGAAAATCATCCAATTAATCTTCGACAAAATTATTGGTAAACACTGATTTAAAATCATAAAAGAGGATATTACCATTTATTTTATATATATGTTTTTTTCTATGCCTCTTTGATTTAACTTATTTCTATAACTTGTTTCAACCTGTGTATAGTAATATTCGTGCGTGTTCTATAAGTTGTGCGCATCTGTCAGTGTCTGAAGTCATTTATTTAAGATGTACGTTCGTATTTATAGTTGTATGGTGAATATAAATTCTGACTTTGGCGTTGGTTTACAAAACAACTTTCAACCAACGCCAAAGTCAGAATTTTCAATACAAATGTCACGACAGTTCTACTGTATGGTGCGGAAACTTGGAGAACTATGAAATTTATCATCTAAAAGATACAAATGTTTATTAACAGTTGTCTACGCAAAATACTTCGGATCAGTTGGCCAGACACTATCATCAACCACCTACTGTGGGAGAGAACAAACCACATCACAATGGAGGAAGAAATCAGGAAGAAGCGCTGGAAGTGAGTAGGAAAGCACCTAACTGCGTCACAATCGAATGCATTTAACACAAAATTACAGGACTTGTTAATAAAATCTAACAATCATAAAGTAGATGCTTAATTTGCAAAATGTCCATCAATTGTCCCAAAACGACTCAGACTTCATTGTTCTTGCATTTTCATACAAATTGCATCCTGTTTCCATTCTTTACTGTTCGATCCTCTTGTCTCTCTGCTGCCAGACATTCTATTCACGAGTAACGTCATATATTACTTATATCAATATAAGTAGCACACACCGCAATATATTTACTACTAAACAACTGCAAATACGAATGTACAGCCTAAGCAAATGATTTCGTCCAAGAGAAAATTTTCTTCGTTGAATTCTCTTTATTTTTACTTGTTTATATTTTTTGTTGTCCTATTTATTTTTTTCATCTATTATTTTCATTCTAGTCTGCTTCGTCACTGTTTGATATGTTACTGCATTATGAAAGTTGTACAGATCTAAGTATAAGTTTAAATTTAAACAAAACTCTTCCTAGTCAAGCTTGGAGTCGTTGTGTTAATTTCATGCGAAAGGTACGTGTCCCATTAACTGTGTGAAAAGATTAATTTTTCTCTTTAATTCGTTCATTGTGATTTCATTTTTCTACATTATTTATTGTTTGTAGTACAACCAAAAGGTAACCGAGTGAAAGCTTGAGAGTATCTTCACTACAGTTTTATATCAAAATGAGTGTTCAGTGGACTGAATTATATTTTTTAACAGATTAAAAATTGATGATGATTAACTTGTTCATTTTCATCTAATTAGCTTTCGTGGAATTTTACTATAATTTTACGCTTAAGTGTTCTATTCTCGCACAGCATGATAAATTAAATGATATTTTTTTAATTAATAACTTTTTAATTTACAGTGTATAATTTAATATAGTTTGTTAGTTATCCCTATATCATTAAAATATTTTATCAATACATAACCACCTCAATACATCGTTCTCTAGTTGAATCACATCTCGACAATAAAGAAAACGTTAAATGAAATACATACACATACAGGTAAAGCAACACAATGTTGAATATATCATTAAACATTAGTAAATATGTTTTACAGGTTAAGTGTTCGTCGTTTTCACACTTGTCACACCTCATCTTACCTCACGGATTTCCGTCTCCGGCGGTAAGGCCCTTTGAAGAACGAATCTAACACGATAAAAACTTCCCACAAAATGACTGGCAGAGCACTTTAGGGATTAGTTCAACTGGCCTTCAGCCACACTTCGGTCTCCCACGATCTCCAGTCAACCTGAATGGCAAGTTAATGTAGATCCTCCGTCTCTTTACGAAGTTGAAAAAGCCATAGGAAATCTGAATCGAGGGAGAGCAGCAGGCCCTGACAGGTTTACTCCTGAGATTTTTAAGGATGATGGTTCAGTATTAGCAATGGGATTAACTGAGGTCTTAGGTAGAATTTGGGAACTGGACGTAATCCCATCTGACTGGTCTCAATCACTGATTGTGCCAGTTTTTAAGAAAGGACAAAAGTCCTCTTGTGACAATCACAGAGGAATCAGTTTGACCAATTAATGTGTCTAAAATATTAGCTTCAATAATACTTCGGCGCCTAACTAAAGCTCGTGAAGAACAGACTAGAGAAAATCAGGCTGGTTTTCAACCTGGACGTGGTTGTATAGACCAGATATTGACAATACGTCAGGTTCTAGAACACAGACACACATTCGGACGCCCCACAATCGTAGATCATATCACTTCGTTTCCTGACGTTGTTTCACTGCAAATGAGGAAAATTAATATTTCTCACCATATTAAGCTTGACACTGTTTAATATCATTGTGTTATTTTTCTTACTTCAATCGACATTTTGTGAATAGTTTCAATTCTGAATTATCTTTGTTGGTGAGATATTGATCAAGTTCTTATTCTAATTGGTTAGTTACTGAGTTTTAATGACGGATTTCATATTTGTCCTAATGATTTAGTCCTAATCAAATTCCAATATGGTCACTAGTATAGGTAATCCAACATCGTGTGCATTATATTTTATTTTCATTACCTCCAACTACCTTACAGTTCGTATTATCTTTGGGACAGCAAGAACAAAAATTTGAGCAGAATAACTTTAATTCATTTTATTTCGTTTGGTTCTCGTTAGTTGCTTACAACATGTATTATTTGAAAATAGTAATTACAAAATAGGTTCCAATTACTTATATTCTCACTTATTGTCAGCGTTCATTCATTACGTACCTACTTGTTTCTAAAACTTTTGACTTTTGTTACTATCAATGTTGTAGAATGTTCTTTTACACTGGGTAAACGTTTACAATATTTTATTTAGTCTATGAAATTTATTGACTCCCTTGCTATACTATACTGATATTTGATCCTATCAACCTCTAAATAAACTCCGTCATTTAAGTGATTTGACCTCATTTTGTAATTATGATTTGTAGATAATACAGGTTTTAAGCAACTGACGAGAACCCAATGAAATACATTGAATTCATGTTATTCTGCTCAAATCTTTGTTCTTAAACTCTTCACGATGATAAAGAGAACTATGTATATTGAAATTCGTAATATTGTTTTCAATCAGTATTTTAATTGTTTTCCTAACTTGTATTCTAAATTACCCGCAGATATATTTATAAGTATAATTTTTAAAAATTTATGAGGGTACCAAGTTGATTTCTTTGTTTTATATTAATTTTTATTCATAGTCATCTGCTCTACGTCGATTCACATTGAGTCATACTCCATTACGCTTAGAAAATTTTCATGGTCTAAGTTTCTATGGTCTATGCTTGGAACGTTTACATTTTATTGATTGTAATTTAACCGGTCAAGCATTATATGGACTTATGCAATGGTTGTACATCCTTTTGAGTTCAACAAGTTTATATCCACCAACACGAGACAGACCATGTAATTCAAGTAGAGGACATAAATTTCGTGGTTGGAGACATCGTAGACACTCTTATACTACTTCAGGATTAAATTTATCAAATACAAGTACTACAAACATTATTAATACTAACACTACCACTATTAATGATACTAAACCTTCTATTTGGGAATTAAAATTAGGTTTAATGAATAATAAATTGACTTCTTCAGATGTTGAAGCAATACTACCACTAATTCGTCATCAGTTATTTATTCCAAGAATTTCGGGACCTGAAACTGTTAAATTTGAAGGTCATAATAATAATAATAATAATAATAATAATAATAATAATAATAATAATGAAATTAGCTCATCAGCTGCCCTTGTAAACAATGGTTCACATACGAAATGTACACAACTGAAAAAATCCAACTCATTGTCGTCATCATCGTGTGATTTTCTTCCAGTTGGAGGGATTGGTTATTTATTGGAGTTGAATTTGTCTCATAATAATATTGGTGTAAGTTGTTCTTTTAGTGTACCAAAAGACCGTACTCTTGTTGTTTTGTTTATACATTCAAAAGGGGGAATATTAACTGGTTAGTTCGAGGGTTTTTTGTTGATTGATAATTTTCGGTATCTGTTGTTTCATTTGACACAATGGTAAATCATTTCGATTCGCTACATTTTGAGATAGATTAATGGGAGAAAAATTGACAAGAACAATAAAATATGCAGAAAATGTGTTAAAAGTAAATATTAATGGATTTTGAGTGTGAATTAGACGATACTAGAATAGAGGTTTTAACCTTTAGTTGTGTATTCGAAATGATCATACCGTATATTATTGGTCTTGTTTGTAAAATCGTTGTATTGCAAAGTATAGGTATCTTAAATAGGTACACATTATCGAGTTTCTTTTGTTTGAGTTTTTTGTCTATATTTTTTAAATGTAAATAAATACCAAAAGCTCAAATATTAAATCATTTGACTCAGAGGAACAATATGAAAACATGTGATGTATACTTGAATTTTTACTTCAAATTTGCGAATCTACCCACACGTAAGCCTTTCAGCTTAGCCTCCAAATCTATCAAACATTGTTTTATGATTTATTTTAGTGAAAAATGAGTAATACTGTATAGTAATTTAGACAGTGTTTAGACTGGAATCACTGATATGTAGATTGCTCGTATATTACTGAATAACTCATAATCAGCTTTCACTGTCGTATCTGAATTCTATTTAAAGAGTCCATCTTCTATATGTAAGGCTCTAATATTCTTAAGGATTAAAACGATATACTTTTTCTCGCTAAATATAGCGTCTCATGAAAGCCTGTGATGACAATTAAAAAAACCCGGATAATTCCGGCGCGGTATTATTTCACAATCTACTTTGTATTACTTTATGACTGTAAATTATGACCTTTGAAGACATAAGATGGGATGTTAATACTTAACCTTAAACGTCTTCTATGGGCTACTAGTGTATGAGAAAACCACTAAGTGTTTAGTGCAGAGCTTAATTGTGAAACTTTAATTAGATATGAAGGTGTATGCTTTCGTCAAACTAGGTTTCTGAAACACATCTTACATATACACTTGGCTTTATCTTGGAAAACTTTACTGGTTAATCTAGGAGTAGATTGTAAAAAGACCAAAGGTATCTTAATGAAGATATAGGACTGTTACTGTGTACTATATTAGGCGCTGAGATCTTTATGGTTAGGTTCCGCAAGATTATTGTTAAATAGGATTGGATATCTTATATGAAAGGTAAACAATATGTTAAAGATAGTAAAGTATTAATACTAATTGAATGAATTGTAAATGTTCATATGAAATAAATTACATGGGATAAGATTCTTTGTGAAAAAGAACAAAAAGACGGAACCGTCCAAAAGAATTCAAGAATATAAAAAAATCAAAAATCGGAGTCATAGTAACAAAACCAATTGTATAAAGTGTTTCTGTACACACCGATCTAGGTTTCTATAGTGTATAGTTAACGATTTTTTTATAAAAAAGAAAAAAAAGATTTACGCTCCCATCTGTCGGTAGATTGTGTTTATTCTTATAAACTCTATAGAGGACTGAATAATTCAACGTTGAAGCTCTACTGTGACATGCTATAAAGTAATCTCTAATATGTCGAAAAAATGTTCCTCAATAACAGACAATTATTTTTCTAGTTCTGACATGTTAATTACATTGTTGATTAGAAATAAATTCCTCTTTTTAGAAATGTCATTATTCGTTTAATTTATAAATTAAATTTATTGCTTTATTTACATAAAAATTTAATAATCATCATTAGTTTCTTAATGTCTATTATTTTAATGTTCATAGGATGATGGTTTAGGTATATTGTGTACTGGACTGCTTCAATCTTATCGAAATCGTTTACGTGAACGTTTCTCTACGTTGAATGATCAAGAAATTCTTAAACTAACCACTATGTCATCATCACCATCAACAGAAAAAAGCTCCGATTCAAATTCTAATCGCTGTTGTACACAATCAATACCAATGAAAATTTGCAGCTTAGAACGTCTTTATCTTGTAGACAATAATTTAAGCATAGATGGTATGCAATCATTGGCTATTGTATTAATGCAAACACCAAAATCACTAATCTCTTTTGTTGGCGGTTTAATTAGCTTAGATTTAAGTAACAATGTAAATATTGGCGATAAAGGTGTTGAAATATTGTGTGAAGGTTTAATCAGAAACTATAGTTTAAAAGAATTATATCTTCGTTCCATTAATATGTCTTTTTCAGGTTAGTTAATATTGTGTGTATTATCGCTTGTAATTGTAATATCTTCCCATTTAAATAAATTTTAAATGTAACTAATGAACAGTATAGTTGGATATTGTTTTACATAATATTGTGTATTATGTGCGAAGATATACACATTCCTTGACCGCTAAAGTCAGAAGTTCGTACTTACCTACTAATGAACATTGAATGTTAAATGAATAAATTATTGATTCATAACTATATGTAAAATTTTAAATTTGGTAGTGAAGTTATTTTTTTCATCACCAACTGTAACTAAAGTAGCCAATTATAAGTTCTTGTTTATACTTCTGTATGCGAGTTGGCTTTTCTATGTGGTTGTCCAAATTGAAGTTAAGGAAGAGAAGATTGAACCTGTGTAACACCGGGTTAATAGTCTAGAAGTTAAGCTACTGAACCATGACTCTACAGTTTAATTTGATATCTGTTCGTAATGTAATCATGGAAACTAATTTGTGGATCGGCATATTAGATCGGTATTGAGTATTCACTATTTTGCAAAACTTGGAGCCAAAATAGAGCGTCTCTTTGATGCTTTTTTGCTTTATTACACTCTGTTTTCAATGTATATTTTCATGGTAAATAAGCAGATGACGTATACATACATTTTTGTCACAACGGAAATTTACGGTTTCCAATTCCCCCTCCTCCTCTGTTTTTATCTTCAGGATTCCAAGTTAGCTCTTGCTTCGTGATGCAATCTGGTGATTTCCTTAATGTGTGTTCTATCCATCTACGGTGTCTTTTCCCAATGTACTCTTCATCTGGAAGATGGTTTGCTCTCTCCCACAGTAGGGTGTTGTTGATGGTATCCGATCAACATACACTGAGTATCTTGCATAGACAGTTGTTTATAAAAACCTGTACATTTTTGAAAATGGTTGTATTAATTCTCCAAGTTTCAGTTCCGTACATCGGAACTGTCTTGACGTTCGTATTGAAGATTGTGATTTTTATATTTGTTTACAGTTTTTGGGTTGCATATGTTCTTCCACTGTAGGAATGCGGCCCTTGCTTTGCCGTTCTTTGTCTTTACGTTTGTGTCTGATCCTCCTTGTTCATCAATGATGCTACCCAGGTACATGAGACTGTCCACCTCTTCCAGAGTTTCTCCATCAAATGTGATTGGGTTGGTGTTCTCCGTGTTGTATTTCATGATCTTGCTTTCTCTTTTGTGTATGTTGAGGCCCACCACTGCAGAAGCTGTTTCATCTCCACTGCGTGTCTTGACCTTTATTTATTGGTGTGTATGGAGTAGAAGAGCTAGGTCACCTGTGAAGTCATCTAGCTGCATGCAAGCTGCCTATTGTATTTCTCGCTTTCCCTGAGATTTAGTGGTCTTCGAAATCCAATCAACCATTAAAAGAAAGAGAAAGGGTGAGAGTAAGCAGTCTTGTCTGACACCAGTCTTCGTTTGGAATGCATCTGTCAGCTGTCCTCCATGCACGACTTTGTAGTGTAATCGGTCGTATGAATCCCGGATGATGTTGGGGATTTTATCAGGTACACGAAGATGTCGAAGAATTTTCCATAAGGTTCTCCTATTCACGCTATCAAACGTCTTCTCATAGTAAAGAAAGTTGATGCACAGTGACAAATGTCATTCAATTGATAGTTTAACAATTATCTATAGTGTCACGATTTGGTCTGTACATGTATACAGGTTCTTGTAGTCGACAAAGTTACACTTTTTGTTGTTCTGTTTTATTCAAGGAATATTTTGACTTTTTGTCCAGGTAGTGGAGCATAACTTGTCGTTTACAAAAGCTCCAAGATTTATTTAATTGTTGATATTTCTTAAATCACATACCATAAAACCTTATTAAAACTGTTGTTTATCAACTGAATGATTGCATTTCGTGGAAAAGAAACTTAGTTTTAGTTCAATTTCTTGTTCTTCACTGGTATTTTATTGTAATATTTACTATAAAGACCAGTGACTTAATAATTTAAATATTCATTTTCCAAATACTGGTTCCCATTTTCTGAGGTGTGCTGCATCACCAACACTCAAGCAGTTAAAGTATACAGCTCAAACTAAACTGCGTAAGTTTGCACTTCATAAACAGTTCATATTTGTAGTTAAATTCTACCCACAAGAAATAGCAACCATAGTGTCAAGATTCCAAAAAGAATCTGCTAATAATCCATAGATAAATTTAGAGCGTTCAATCAACATAGTTTGCTAATTTCCAATACAATTTTATGCATATATCCTACAGTCCCTATAACCTTGGCTGTTGATTAAGTGTTTATCGATGAAGATAATTATAAAGCACATATATATTGTGCACAAATTTTAATTTCAGTATTTTAAAAGTAATTTTCATAAAAAATATAACACGACAACTCGGGAGTCACTGGAAACAAGGGAGGCAGTGTTTCATTCTACTGTATACGTTTGTACGGTACTAGTAAAAATGTTAATTTGTCCGTAGAAACTGCATAGATCGCAGTAAGCATGGTACCTCTAAAGCAGTGCGTTCTTGAAAAGCGAGACAACTAATCATCATCAGTCATACTAAAGCTACAAACGAGTTATTGAAAGTAGGTTGTTTTTTATCGGGGTGGAGAACCAGTTAAATTGATGTTTACTTAATCGTACGTTTTCATTTTATGATTTCCTCGTGTAATTACTTTTGTATTAAAGTTTATATCATATGTATGTAACATCATTTAGCTTAATTATTTTCATATGTTTTATATATAGAGGTCACTTATTAAAATGATCATACGATACTAATGAAATAAATGTACCAATTAGCATAGTTTAGATAAGTTATTCACTAATAATTCACTTATGATTTATGGCAATAAATGTTGATTCCTATATAAATCAAAAAAATTCGATTGTTTGGTTGACATCAGATTGTCACGAAGGAATCTGTCCTAAAATGTCGAACAACATTAAATTACAGTGTTAATACCCATCTTGATTACTGGATATTATCGTGCTTACGAATAATAAATTTTTGTGATACATAATTGATTGTTGTCTGTTGCAAGTGTAGTTTATTTTAATGGGTGAATGCGTTTCTCTGATGGAATCACTTATTTAACAATTACAATTCAGCGTCATTATTTTGTTCAAATAGTGAGTAGTTTATTAGTCACTTGGATGTAAGTATCAATCAAATAGATTATTCGAGAGGTTTTTCTACAAACTATTAAACTGTTTTCTTGATACTTTTGATATGCAAAGTACACTCTATCGTATGCTTATTCAATTTTCGCCTTTTTACTTTAATAAAAACACTAGGAATTTTCGCTTTATCCAGTTTTCTCAGCGAATCAAAGTGTCTAAAGTATTTGGATATACGCAACAATAATTTAGATATAGCCTCTATAATGGCTTTATCAAGAACTTTATTCATTAATAAAACATTAACAAGTCTGGTTTCAGATGCACATCGTTGGGCGAATTCTCAGCTGGATCTATCTGATGTAGGTTCAATTTAATGATATATATATAATGGAATATACTCGTTGAGACATAAGATAAAAGAGATTGGTTCAGCCAACAGTCCTCTTTTCGGCAAATTCAGATAGATAACGAATTATAATTGAAAAGAGAAGGCTCAGAGTGATATGGTGTTGAAGTTGAGATGAACTGTAGTCGGGTGAATAGTGGGAACAAAAACAAATCATTTGAGACTAAATGGTCTATAACGATGAAGATAGAAAGAATGCAGATTACTGTGAACAAAGAAAAGGAGGAAAAAGAAAAGTTACGAGAGATTAAGACTGTGGTAGAAGAGGAGGTTGTACAAGTTTCTTTAGTACACAAAATTGTGGTTCTTCTAGATATATAGCTAGTGCTTCGATAATGCTAAGAAGATGGAACATAACTGCTTTTGACAGCTCTCTAATTACCTTGTAGATGAATTTGAAAGCAGAGTCCGTTTTCATCAAATAACATGTGTGTTCACAAGATGTTCAGTTATTGAACTCGATTTGTTTTACCTCACTGCTATCATGTTTAGCTAAATTTTACTATCACTATTATTATAAATATTACCATTTCGAAAAATAAGTATATATTTATGCTTGTACAACTTTGAAAATGAATTCTCCGAGAAGTGAACTGTTCAGCTAACCAATCTTTCTTGTTTTACATACATACGTTTGTTTTAGAAGTTTTTTACCACTGGTTTATATTATTTTGAACAACGGTCGGATAACGGATTGTGTTGCATTCCTTTATCACTTTATCTTGAGGTGGTGTCGATGTAGTACATAGATATATTTGTCTCTTTAAGAATTAATGCAGTGTGTTTGAATTTCTTGGTTTGGTATATTGAGTTATATGAGGATCATCTTACAGAGTATAATCTGCCAAGTTTTAATCAACGTATAACACAACACTTTTATGCCATTATTGTAGGAGATTCTCTTTGGGCTTTAACGTCTCAGAATACTTTAAATTTTTAATATCTCAGGTACCTTAAATAATGTCACTTTCAATGGAGTTACTGTTTCTCATAATGAGACAGTAGATTTATGTATACTCGTCAGTTACTAGTATTTGATCACAGATGTCTTAGGAATATTGCTCGCATCTGCTGGGATCACCGGGTAAGTAATAGTGAGATCAGACGTAGGGTATTACGGAATGATGGTAAATCAGTTGATGAAGTTGTCTTTCTACATCGACTGAGATGGTTGGGCCACGTGTTACGTATGCCTGAACACTGATTACCACGGCACGCTACGCTGACTAGTGTTGGATACGGTTGGAAGAGAGTTACTGGCAGTGAAACCAAGGCGTGACATTAATCCATAAAGTCACTAACTTCTGGTCTGAGCCATGTTGATAGATGCAAACTACTCGGTTGGGGTCCACTCCCCTATCGTAACCAATGGTTGGAGACTGGGTGATATGACTCAGAATGGATCACAATGACGTAGGAGAATACACTGTTTATCTTCCCTTAAACCGTGAGATTTAAATTACTTTGTACCTTTCTTTTTACGAACTAATTCTTTCTCCCTGTATTATATCCTTATATGCAGTCTTTCTTTAAAGATTACTAGCGTTGGCGCAATCGCTTCTATGAATTAGGTGTTCATCTTGTTATGCTAATGAGGTATGACAACGTAGACTGATGCATATATATGCATGTCAGATCTGAACTACATAATTGGTACACACTGATTCACATTTCTAATTTCAGCTAATTCACGATACAGAGCATGACCTTAATCCAATGCTATTGACGATATCTCACTCTTAACATGATCAAACTCCACTGGTAAACGTGACATTATTCTGTAGTTTGAATGCCAGATTCTGGTTCGTTTTGAAGGTCGATACCTCATACGAATAGGTTTTGTTATTGGTCTATACATCATCTATTCAGCTTGTTAACCAATAAAACTCGTCATGTACTTCATGCTTATTTATGGAGATAGTTTCTGTGTAGTTGAAATAATATTGATTCTTGATTATCCAATCGAAGTGTCTTCTTTAGTGTGTAAGGAGTTGTTGGCGTTTACCAACGTTTTTCAGCTGTGTAGTAAGTATGAACACCGTCTGCCAAGTGGAGAGTGTGTTTATTGTCCAACATTCGGCTCTGAATCGTGGTCTATGAAAATAGAAGACATGCGTAAGCTGGAGGTGTTTGATCACAATTTTCGTAGAGTCATTGTTGACATTTATTGGAACGATGGAATGTGTAATGTTGAGGTTTTCCTAAGGGTACTCGGTAAATGTAGCAAGTTGGTTGATTAGACAGTGAATCTTCATCGACTTGAAGTGATTAGTACATGTGTTATGTATACTTTATCACCGTCCACCTAGACGAGTGATGGTTGATAGTGCAGAAGTAGATAAAAAGATAGCTAGGTGCGGCCAAGTCAATACAAAGCATCAGTCCATGAAGTCTTTGACTACTGGTCTGAACCATGTTGATAGATGCAGACTACTCCTTTAGAGTCCACGAGGTAATTGTGGTCAGTGATTGAAGGATTTGAGTGGAATGACTGGGACGCGTTCACACTGGAACAGGTCCATTCACTCTTGGTGATGCCCATCTGTCTTTAGTTTGTAAAGGTGAAGAAAGTGTGAGCTGGAACTAAAACTTCTAATCAATGGCTTTTTAAATAAGCTTGATTATTAAATGAACTAATGATTTTAAAAGTATTTTTCTGTATTATGTTTTATTATCACTTTATCTTTAAAGTCCAATATGTTATCCGCTTATAGACTACTCGAAATGTTGATATAGATATGATTTTATCCTACCTACACTGAGTCATAGTTGGTCATTCATCATTAATTGAAATCATATGACATCTGTCTGATTGACACTGAACAGATCGATTCTTTACACAAAACTAATGTTCTTCATTTGTTTACGCATTTCCTGATATAATATGAATTTTATAACACTCTATTTGTTACGGATTGACATCAGTTTGGACACCATCGAAAATCAGGGGGCACTAGACAGCTGTTTTATACCACTATGAAACTCCTGAGCACTGCACATCTACAATCTCACCGATAATAGAACCTTGGATCTATTAAGATCTCTAACCGAAGTACTACCTACTTAAATATTGATTTAGGATTCACTGAATTATGCGACACTTGTCGAATGAGATTGGTGGTGATTTTTTGATGTATATCTTAGGTGAGTTTCTCTAGTCACAAGTTTTATCCGAGTTAAATTTGAAGGTTATTTATGTACCAAATTAATTCTTCATTGATCAACTTAAAACCTTGAAATAACCCATACCTTTTGAGAAAGTATGTAAAATTAATGTTATCTGAATGAATGTACAACTATTTACTAAGGTAACTGGTTAGGTTGTATCTAGTGCCAAACATTATTCTTGACAAATAAATATCATTTAAATTTTTTACATATTTACTGTGGAAAATGAAAGACAAGTTCCACTTCCTATTGTTTGTGATTACCATCATTTTTATTAATCAGTACTAATCTTTATGAAGGTTAAGTAGTCCTCATAGGACCTGAGGTTCCTTAGCTCGATTCCATGTAGAGTCGTGGATCCACACTGCTGTTAAAGATGAAACAACTGTCTAATGCTTCCTAGTTTTCAATGGTTTTCTAACTGTCATTTTAATGATGTGAACTATGAGATTCAGCAATCTTCGCATATCCTTGCAGTATTAATTTTATTTATTTATTTATTCTTTGTGCTGTTTATAGAAAGATAAAGATTTAATTAAATCTCTCATTGAAAGCATCGATTCAAATCTTAGAAGAAATCGTTTAGAAACAGAATTAGTTGATAATAATAATAATAATGTCTCGAATATTAATTGTGATACAATCACACCAACTGATGTTGTCAATGACGAGAATTCGTTGGGACAATCTGAATTAATGAATAACAGCTCAGTGATACAGTGTAATGATAATTCACTAACTAATTGTAATATAATGAATGGTGAGATGTCATTGGACACAACAAATTGTACATCGGATATATCAGTGATACGAAGTTATGAATGTGATAATAATAACATTAATAATGAGTGTGGTCCTGATAATAATAGTAATGCTGATCTCCAGTCAGATAATTCGTTAAATACAACGATCGAACAACTTGATAGTGATAGTAATGTCGAGGTTTTGGGTAATTTAAACTGCGCAATAATCTCTACCAATCCTATTAATGAGATATTCACTGAATGTATATTGGATAATCAAACAATAAATAAAGATGGTAAATTTATCAATAATAATAATAATATTAATAATAATGAGAATTTTGCAATAATAGAAAAACGAAGTAAGGAAGAAAAGAAAACAACAATAGTGGTAGAACAACGACGACCATCTTTACTTCAACATTCATCCGATTCATTTATGACTATTGAAAATCTCTCTTCTTCATCTAACTTATTCCAAAATGTAAATATACCATGTTTCAAGGATGATAAGTCATTGAATTGTAATACCGAATCAGATCCAATTCAGTCATCTGTAAATGTTTTTGACGAATCAGATTCACTGAATACAATAAGTCAAAATAATCATAATCATACAAATGATGACGTAATCAGTAAATAAATATTATAAAACAGAGATCGAAAAAATCCAAATGAATTCCTCACCGTAATAAAGATACGCCTTCATCAGTAAATATGTCAAAAACCAATATTAATGGTGTTTGACATAACAGTAATAAAAGTAATAATAGTGCTATGATTTTGTTGTTCAATATTTTTCCCCTTAGTATTAACTTAAAAAAAAACGAAATTAATAACTGTGCTTTTCTTTTTCTGGTAAGTTATTTTTAAAAGGTCATTGAGCTTTTTTGTTTTTATGTTCATTGTTAATTATGAAATGATTTTTCAAGGATCTACCAGAATCATGTTTAGTTTAAACAGGACTAATGAAGTGGTTGATGCAGTTAATAGTTTCGTTTATTTTTGTATGACAGCATTAACATTAATTCTTCTATGTAGATATCTTTCATCATTTAAGTTACTGGGTAGATACATCAATGTTCATCCCAGCTCATATATACAATTAAATGTCCATTCTCTTCTACTTTATCCGTCCTCGAAAATAGTTGTTGAAATTGTATTAAATCATAAACTAGAATACATTTTTTGAGATTAAATATGAATTTCTTAAAGAGATTAATGTTTTCTTCAGAGTATACTGTTATCAACCAAGACTATTTGTGATAGTCACTTTGATGATTAATCACTCTCTCATTGTATCTTATCTTAATTAAGATAGAGATGAAAAGATTGTTTTGAGAAATTAATATATTGGTGTTATTTGTTGAATTATAAATTAAGAGAAATGTATCTGAAACGGATGAATAATCCAAACAAACTGAGATCTGGTTATTATTGAAATATAATAGGTAAAGAGTCAGGTATGTTACTTAAAGGCCACTAATTCGAGTCCTTCAAATTTCAGCCATCATTTATAAATCTATACAATATTACGTGTTATCAGCTCATATATCATATAAAAGATAAATAACGGTAGATTCTTCTTGAAATCATTCAACTCGGTGGCTCATACTAATGATAATAAAAGTGGTAACTTCTTGGTTAAGGTTGAATAACTGTAATATTGAATTCTTTTGTATTTATTCATATGGTCGGAGCCAGCTTTTTGATTTCCAGTAACATGTTTATTCCATCAGGTTCGAAAAAACCAATGTATTTTATGGTTTTACTTTCATTTATATTAAACATAGCGAGTAAACTGTTGTCTTCACAAAATTATAACTCAATCTGTCTATATGTACGCAATCGATTTGTGACTTCAATGTGTTCTATAAATTGCTTTAAAACTATAGGTAACAGTTTTGTCATAGATATCGAGAATCAAATTACTTGAGAATTTTATATAGAGAAGGTTGATAATTCTTTATTTATCCTATAAGTGAGTCCGCATCTTTTTCCCTTCAATAGATATTAAAAAGAGCTTAATAATTGTGTCCTATACAGATATAGTGTATTGAACAATAGAAAATTTCTAACATCAAAACTTTTGCATCATAAAATCATTCTATTTTCAATATAGCAGCTCACTTGTAATCAAGTTTGTTCACAAATAATTTGGTCAAGACTTGTTAACTTATTTAACGGACAGTTATCCGTACGATAACAATTTATCTATATCATTGTACCTTTCTTATTGTTGCACTTGTATGAATATGTATGCTTGAGTATTACTTACTTACTGTCTATGCATATATTCATACATTTGAACCTACTCATTCAACTCGCTGACTCGCTCTCACACTCGCTTGCCTGCTCGCTTTTTGGCAATACTATCTCATGCTTGTTTAGTGTACCTGTAAATTTGGATATCTGTGTGTGGTGTAATGATAAACGTAATCAACGTTTCGTATTCGCCTTCTGAATAATACACCGTTTGGACATTATCTGTTGACGGTTATCAGGGCGAACTATATACGAAGTTTAAGGATTATATTGAATACCGGCCACCACACCCATACAATTGATAAGTTGACATTAGTTTGACATAAACTCGTCGTGTGTTACCGCACCATTTTTCTGACTCAACTATGTTTACCATAGATAGATAATCTGAATCCAAGTTTTTGTTGAATTTCATTATAGATCACTAGCAATGCATAACATTTAGTTTTTCTGAGATTTGAGATTAAATATCTGCATCTTATATATCCAATAGATTTTATATTGTGGTACAATTATTCCGTAATGTCACGATGTGTTATTACTTTCTGCATTCCTGCCTTTGTCAATTCTCATAGACCATAACATTGCCAATCCACATTTATTAATTAAATTACTTTAATCAGCAATAGGTCAGTCATACATCATGAATGTTTCAATTAGTGACTTATAGGAAATCACTCTTCTCCAATCCATCTAGTATCTAATTTGTTGACAATAGAAATTATTACTTTAAATATTCTTTTAAATCAGAATGTTACTGTTTACATAACGAGTTTGTTTGGAAAGTAATCATATTAGAAATTTATAGTGAAAATATTGATTTGATTCTGTCTCGTTTGATTAGATTAATCTCGTTTATTTATTGTTCCACGTAATAAATTGTTTGTAAATTGTATATGAAATGTTTTATTTATCGAATTCTCATGTTTTTTTAATCTTTATTAAAGCTATTCAGAATCTGTTCAATTCTCGAATTCTATGATATACATATATATATATATATCATATATATATATACTGATTTGGCTCCAATGTCTGATTCGACGTACAATATCCACAATCCTAATCCGTACCTAATAACCTCTGAATTTCAATACTGACTTCTATTTTTTCTCAAAAATAATATTCGTTGTGATCGGTTTTTTATTTGTTTTTTTTTATTATTAAAACAGAAAAACTTTCATTAATAAATACTTGCCTAGTAATTTTACAGTTACGTCGTTTTCTCCCATATTGATTTCAATGGAATTTCACAAACTCAATTCTAAGGTTTATAATTGTTCATTATGAAGTTTTCTTTTCCTTTTTTGTTGTAAATTGTATTTCCAGTTACTGTTATTTTAATTATGTTGCTTTATTATGCAAACGTATACGGATATATTCATTCTCAACTATTGATAATTGCAATACTTTACTGACATCTTTCTCATGTATCATATTGACAATAATGAATAATATTGTAGGTATCGATGCCAAGGTTAGTCTTGATAGTTTCAGATAAATTGAACTTTGGGTACAAGGTTAATAATAAATATATTTTTTTGTTATATCCCAATGAGTAGAAAATTTTATCCCTGACGTTTCGTGACCTATTGTACGCCACTTCTTCAGAGTAAATAAATAACCGAATTTAATTTACATATGTTTAAATAGTACCAAGGAAACATTGAAGAAGTTGATTACATTAAGCTACGAAACGTCAAAAATACAATTGTTTACTCATTGGGATATAACAAAAATACATATTTATTATTAATGAAGAATACTGTTATCATCAAACACTTCTTGAGTATGTTGGCATCAGTTTAAATGAATCTTATTTACTATTAAAATTGTACAATGCATAGTCATCTATACACTTATCATTTATTCTTTTGACTCATATACATTGGTTTATTCTTATTATCATTATTCATTTCTATTATTTTACTGTATTTTACTGTAATTTGTTTTCATTACCAGTATCGTTGCCTATGATAATTTTAAATAAGTATCAGCGTATACATTTTTGTACACACTCATGTTTATTCCCATTTTAATCTAATATTCTTTTTTTTATTTCTCATGTTTGTTTTTGTTTTTATTTTTTCATTGTGAAGTTACAAACAGTTAAACAAAAGGGTTTTAAGTTTTTCTTTTCGGTTCTATCATGTTTTGTATATTTTTTTTCGAAGAATACTAATATTATTATGATTGTCAGTAAAACAATATATTTGTAACTATTGAATTATTAAACTACTGTAATCTTTTGTTTATTTTGTTAATTAGACATATCATAATGTTTGTTTGTATGTATATGTGTGGATGGATGGATGTTTGTTTGGTTATCTTTAGGAATTTATCGGTTAATTCATTCTATTTTCTGATTGCAATACATATCAAAATAATTCTATATTTTCTATGACATTTTTTTTCCTGCGGTTACATCTTTAAACTCATGAATCTTTTGTTAAATCGTCAATTCACCGTTTGTTCTCATCATACTTAATTTCTTTTGTGATAGGTCATTATCATTCATTAATGAAATACATTAATAAAAAAGTAATTACATTCAGTCTATTTTCCAATTTGTTGAATAAAATCATTACTTATAATTGTTAAATTGTATGTGATGCAAACAATCAAACTTGTGAAAGTATTTAGTCGAGTAATAACTGCTTAGCTTATATATGACTAAAATACTTTACAGACGGAGTTCCTTTGATAATAATCCCATATTGATTTACATTTTGAATAAGACACGTATACGTATATACAGATTGTTCACGAAAACTTTTACACAATCTAAATGATGCGATGATGGATGCTATTTGAAGTATTGACTAAAGTTTCTGTATCATGTGATTTTTAGTAATCACCAACTATTGATTTATTAGTTAGAATAGTTATTGATTCAAAGAGATGATCCTATTGTTGTATAGTGTGTTTCAACTTCATTTCATGTTATTTATGATTCATTTGAAAATTATGTAGACAAATAATATTTCCCTTCCTGGGTAACTTTCGTACAACTAGTATTGTCTCATTAAAGTAATTGTCGTGAGGTTATTCCCAGCATTCCACTTATCAGTAAGTGCATTGTACTCAGCACATTTGGTTGTCTTCCCGCTTTTTTGATGAGTGAGTGCTAGATGATGGAGTAAAATTTTCATCAAATATTTCATCTCAATCTCTAACGCTTGCTACTTTTTTATTCGGGCTGCTACACTGACATGTTTGTAGCAGATAGTTATGAGTAATTCCAAACACCTGAAGTGAGATCCTCCATGAAATTACACTACAATATGCAGCACATATCCATTAAGTGAATGGAAACATGGTTAAAGCTACCAGATATCATGCAGTTACTGAACACTGAAGATGTTTCGGTTAATCTCATCCCATATCCTAACTTTATAATTCAATAAGCTTATGAATTTAGCGTATAAAAGTATTTTAGTATGTAGGTTTTACGATGGAAAACTGGTGTATTTGACATTACAGTGCTTCAGTTTTATCTACTCAAATGTCTTTTCAGTATTACAGTGAAATCTACTTTTATTATGGATTCATTTTACTTTCCCTCAATGAAAGAAAGTCTAAAAGTGTTTTTTTAAAATAATAAATTCTTATAACTATATTACCACAAATTATTAAATATTTTCTTAGATTGTTTGACAGTAAGTGGTATATTTGTTGTTAGATTCAAGATAGTCATCTGTATTTCTGTTGATAAGTTATGTATGGAAGTATTGACTTTTATCAATTAGATTAATTTTATTTAAGTCAATGAATTGATGCACAAGATCCGTCAGCACACACATACCGTTGAAATAGCTACGATATATTTTATTTCTAACTAGAGGTTTGTGCACGCAAATAAAATGAGTATGGAGATATTTGCGAAGATTACCACTACCAGTGAGTCGGTCTTCGTAAATGTTTCGGCACACAGATAACTTTCGAAATTTAAGTAGCAGTTAAAAAATATGGTGTATCGGTTACTGATCCTAATATCTTTGTTTTTGGTGTTGCGTTCTCTGAGCTATACGGTTCAATTGTAGATCTTTCATCGTCATTCTTGAGAATAATTTTAGCGCCTTCTTCATATAGAAATGATCTAAATGTGCTTCCAGATGTTTGGCGACAATTAGGATAAAGTGTGTACGTGTATGTCGAAAAAAAGCACAGTGTTGAAACTCAACTGTCATAAAAATTTTTAGACCCGTTTAGCATACATGTTGTATTGAACAGAGTCTACAAACCGAAAATGAACTGAAACGTAACCCGATAAATGAACAATTGGGCGTTATTTAAAAAATCCTATTAAAACTTGAGGTAAGAAAGAGTTAACATTTACAAGAAAACCGGTCTTCATTTACAACAAAGCCGACAAAGATATTTCTGTCGTCTAGATAATCTTCACTTGTTTATAACTATTGGCGCTTGACAAATGCCATACTTTTTTAGTTTAAGATGTTCGTGGATATTGCTAATTTTCATAGTTTCGCCGTAGGGTCATGGATGTCCACTCATTAGGTGTTCCATACTAGGATAAAACAACTATTCAATGCTTTATGGTTTTCAGTGGTTGCATAACTAAGAGCAGTTCATGATGTAAACTTTCAATAATCTTTGTCAATGAAACATATTGGCATTTAACATTGTCATTATAATCTACAAACAGACTTTTGTTATCTGTAGAATAATGAATAAAATTATTTTTAACAAAGTACTATTACGCATATTTTTGCAATTATTTGTCCTTACAGTGATGTACCCTGTTCTAACAGCGTGATTTTTTTGTTTTTCATATTTCATCACCAACGGTTTACTTGTATTTAGTGTGCATGTATGAGTATTTGTGTTTTTGATATGTAACAACATGAAAATAAAGTTCATCTATTTCATTTTGAAGTAGGATTAAGGCGGGACAAAATAATCCGAATAATGAGAAATGATAGTTTCTTACTAACAAATAATGCCTTTTAGTGTACTACCATTGAACACTACATATGTTTCTTTGAAACAGTTGAAAGAACATATACTCACTTTGGTTTTGTAGTATATTTATTGTTTATATTTCACTTGTCATCCTTTTTTGTTTATTTTCGTCAGTGGTAGACTATCTGTCCTTTCATTCTAGCGTATAATTGATGAAGTTAGTTAAAGAAAAACGCTATAGTTCTCTGTTTTTTTCGTCAGATGTCTGAAATTATTTCCCAGAATACAGATTTATATGCGCGAACTCATAATTGAAAATATTTCATTTTACACTGCAATAATTCATAATAATATAGAATTTTTTAAATAATATTCTGTTTTCAGGTATTTGACTAATTTCTCACATTTAATAATAATAAACATTCAAGTACTCACGCTTTTATTCTTCATGTCTACCTACTCAGAGCATTAATGACGTAATAGTTGGTTAAATAACTTGTAAATACCTTTTAACCTTTTATAAGACAAATAATCCTTTCTTATGGAGTGGTAATTCACACGTATTAGAACACACTTACAAGTAGATTTCAATTTATTTAATTATCAAGCATAATTGAGATCATGGACTGATCAATGTCAGACCACCATTGAAAACCTGGAAGCACAGGACGACCGTTTCGCCCCAGTATTGAACTCCTCGGCAGTGCGCATTCACGATCCCACACGCGGGACTCGAACCAAAGACCTTAGGTCTAGTGCGCGAACCGCTTAGACCCTAGACTACTGAGCCGGGATCTGACGGTGCTAATGTCTAATTTCAACCACTCCACTATATTGCGGGACTGTCTCCATTGTCTTTCGTGAGTACCTACCTCACAGCATAACTAATGAAAGTTGATTTAAAGGTGGCATACTGTTTAGCCGTCGAAAATCATTTTGATGCATTTATTTTTATTTTCGCCTTAAATGCACTTTGAAATAAGTAAAAGAAGAACATCTTTGAAATAGATAAATTAATATATTTGTAATATCCAAATGAGTAGAAAAATTAAATTTTCTGACGTTTCGTGACTCAATGTTAAAAAATGGGGATAAACAAATAGTGAGTAAGATCGATCAAAGGTCAGCTATACAGTATCTCGTAATTACTGTAGTCAGTTTTCTCCTTAACCGTTATTTGACAAATCAGTTATTTCTAACATCATGATTCCATAATGAAGCGATTTCAAAGCAAATATATTCACGATTAGAATATTGATGTTTGGTACGGAGTAATGAGTGAAAATCTGATGAGTAGGCTAAACTATTTAATAGAACTTTAACTCATCTAATATCAAATATTTAAAGAGAATTAACAAGGAGTATTTTTTTCTGAATGGGCAATATGCCACTGATAATCACCCACTGATCAATACAATTGTATGTATTATCAGTACAAATTTGAAAAACTCAGGAATAGCGTTTCAAAGTTATCACCACGTGAAGTATATCTAACATAACATCACCTCTAGTTGTTGATACACTTTATTGAGTGCTAATAATCTCAAAATATGAAGCTTACAGAATGTTGTTTGTTAAATTGGTCGATGAAATATGAGCAAAATTAAATAAATATCAATCCATAGAACAGTAAATATGCTTGGGATGTTTTATGATGAATAAAGCAAGAAACCAAGTTTCATTGTAAATCATTGTGACGAAGTCAATGTTATGTTAATTTTTAAGTCATATCATATATTGTGTCCTGTTTAGAAATATCTGATTTTATTAAAATAAAAAAGTCAGTTTAATTCTTTTTTTTTTGTTTTAAAGATTTATCACCCTCACTACAGTTGTGTTTGTTAGTGTAAAAGATTTAGAGAAAATTTCTAAAGAATATTATCTATTCCATGAAATATAGGAAAGTCCAGGTGTGATACTGAAGATAAATAAGTACTTAGCTAATAGGTTATGTAATTTTGATATTGTTTTTAAATCGAACTTATCGTAGCTATTTAAGTTTATGCGGATATCTATTTCTAGAAAACATATAAGTATACTGATATATAGCGTGGAAATAGCATATTTTTTGTGTTATTTGACGTTGAAAACGAATAATTTATAGGTATTCAAGTTGTATGTGAGCCAATAATTGCGTAATGTATTGACAAGATACTGTTAGGACAATTGTTGTAAGATAATTTATATATGAGAGCCATCGATACTACCCAGCTACCTAAATAATAAATCTACAAAGTTGGCTTTAAGCTGCTAGCTTGGCGACTTTGTTTTTTTAACCAGCTTCTTAATTATTAACACCCTATTGTATTAATTTACGAATTCGTCCTGATAAATATCTTTTATCAACCAAGTATACGTATCAACTTAGATGTAGCAACTTCTATATCCGTTATGTTTATTGTCGAATAAATATAGGGAGATATTAAGAAGCCACCTACTGGAACCTATTGATCACTTACACCTCTCGTATAGATCAGTTAAAATTTTTGACCAACTTGATTTTGAATATCCAAATTGTTCAATGAACTATCCTCTTACGTTATTACTTATTAAAAAGATGCCTATAAAAAATAATTTGACACTCTACAATTTATTTTATAATGTCATCCAGAGATTCAAAAGCCTATTTCGTCTTTTCCTCCCAAACTTCCCAACTTTTACGAGTTGAAGATATCACCTCATCATTTAAATGATCCAATATTTGAAAGAAACATGCAATAAAACATTCTATGAAATTATTTTACAACTATTTGTATCATATTATGGACCGTCCCCTGAATAACAACAACTGGAGTAATATCTTCATATTATCTAATGATAGATTTATAACATAATGTTAATTTCGCGAATTATATCTCGCTGATAGGTTTAATAGAGTTACTGAGTACCTTAATTTGATACCGAATAGATTGATTAGCTTTTGATTTTGTTGTTCAAAATTTTAGTAAAGACTGTTTTAATGCATCCATTTATCATACACACGATTTCTTTATGGACATTTATTATTGTATTTTATTTTATATTAGTTTGCCTTTTGTTTGGACAGGATGCTATGCAGTAAAAGGTTGAAACATTTTGAGATAATAATATAAACTACTCTTATTAATATCAGTAATTCGATAAGGTCTACACATTCTCCAGCCTACCATGAATAACGTTAACATATCCAACTATATGAAAACTGGCGATGACGATTGTTCAAAACCAGTCAACGAAATTGTAGTTTTGTAATTAAACAGTAAAGTCATGACTAAATGAAAAGAAGAACTGGTTTATAAAAGCCTCTCTTTGATGCGGCGAGTGTAGATTTATGTTCTTTATTCAGTTGGGCTATTATCTTGTTTTTTGATTGGCACTTCTGGCCTACATCAGGTATCGAATTAATGTTTAAGAAAAAACAAATGTTTTAAATTTATCGGTTAAGTTAAGCAGGTGTTTTAGTATTGGATTTTTCGTATGGATTTATGTACATTGGTATTTCCTTATACAATCCAAAGTTGCGTTTATATCAGCTTTGTTCTATCCACTTCCGTTGAATTATCTATTCTAATAACGGAACGTAATGTAAATTATATCCCAAAACGTAAGAGTTTTGATAAAGATATTTTTGAACGGTCAAAATTTTGCATATATTCAGTACTTAACTCACGTTCTGACTGTATCATAAAGTGAATTGTCAACAAAGTAACTAGTTTATATGGGGACCCTACGGCATAATGAGGTATTTTAATGTTAATTCAGAACTTACCTACACTTCTGTTAAAGTAAGATATCATAACTGTTTTTACTAACTTACCATGATTATAATTGTATTTCACTGAATATTTCAACTATATATGTTTGAACGTAATTTCTTAATGAGTGTAGACATAGGATATTTCTTCTCAATTTTCGTCAGATATGTCAAGATTGATAACAAAGGCTGGTTCGTAGTCACATTTAAATCAGTTATCTTTGGATTTTCAAATCGAGGTATTTCTACACAAAATCTGATCTACAATGATTTTAATATCAGGTATGCCTTAACTGTAGAAATTCCTATCTACATATTACATGATCTTATGATATATTCTACTGTCCTATAAATCTTCATTAAAAGCATCTCTTCTTGCTTTAGATGATTTTCTTGTCGTCTTCAATCATAAAACAAATAAATCATATGATTATATTACAATCTAATCGATTTATTTCAATTGGTGATCGAATTTCTCTTATTAGAAAAATTACAGCTCAAGATGTGAATGATTTTGCAAAACTTACTGGTGATATTAATCCAATTCATTTAGATTCGAATTATGCTAAACAAACACGTTATGGTAAATGTATTGTACATGGAACATTTATTCAAGGGTAAATAATTATCTAATTTTACTCATCAAATTTCGTTTCATTTATCTATAATTTTAAATATTATTGAATAATTGTTTGAGCGTAAATTCAGTTTTATGTACTAATTTTCTTCTTAAATGTAGTACAGTATCACTAGTCGGTTACCTTAACCAACCAATGGTAATAAATTAGTAATGAGTAATTTAAAAAAAACAGCAATTTAGGGGCGAGCTAAGCAAGATTTTTCATCTTTCCATGTAATTATTCACTATTTTCTGAGTTCTCTTGGTAGCTGCAAAATTTCAGTTTGGAATCTGTGGGATAATGTCAATCTATGGTTGTGAATGGTAAGTAGTCTGACCGAAAATCAGTTTCTTTGGAATAATTGGATTCATGTACTATTCTCCTTTAAATATTTACGCAAACTCAACCACCTCCTACCTTGGCAGATCATGTTATATGATGTAAACGTAGACTGGGAGAAAACTGGGGGATCCAAACCAAAAAATAACATCAGTCCATGAAATTACTGACTATTAAAACCTTCTCAGACAGCTCACACTATTGATGATGATATTTTCAAAGTTCTCAATATAATAAGGCTGAAATATTATGAGATAGCAAAGTCTAAAGTACATTTCCTCAAACAATAATATACACGCATTATATCATAGTTTGATTAAAATGTAGTAAACCGTACTCTTGAAGTTGATCTTGTAATTTAACATTCCAACCAACAAACCTGAGCGTACTGAATTCACTTACTAAAGTAGTCATATACGTGTACAAAGTAAAGGTACCAAGAACAAATGGAAAGTCAGTTCGTGATTTGTTGCTTTCTAAATATATTTCTCATCTTCTTATGCTTAATTCATTTATTCTTTGTAATAAAGTATATAAACATTGCAAAATTTCAGAAAAATCGAATTAAATCAAACAACTTATTAGTCAAATATTATAACCCTAATCTCTTCTTTCTTATTTTATATTTAGTGTTTCATTTACGAGCTTGTTTGTTTTTTTTTTAGCGAAGAAAACTTTCTTCTCGACAAAACCATCTATTTCTATCTTTCTATTGACATATATTTCCTATATAGCTATACATACGGATGTACAGCTTAAGTAAAGAAATTTTTTCTTCACTGAATTCTCTTTATTTCTATCCAATGACACAATGAGTTATTTTTTCTTCTTGTGAGATTGATAATAATCTCATAATATCTTTAGTCAATTATATCCTTTCATATGATCCTACTTGACCGAATGCTATAAGGATTTGCGAGTGAATTAAATTTGGTATTATCCAGGAATTGAAAATATATTTTGATAATAGTTACTTTTGAATGCACTTGTAAAGAACAAGGACATCAGTGGGGAAAATCAAATGCATTTAACACAAAATTACAGGACTTGTTAATAAAATCTAACAATCATAAAGTAAATGCCTAATTTGAAAATAGTCCATCAATTGTCTAAAAGTGACTCAGACTTCATTGTTCTTGCATTTTGATACAAATTGCATCCTCTTTCCATTCTTTACTGTTCGATCCTCTTGTCTCTCTGCTGCTCGACCTTCTGTTTACGACTAACATCATATACTACTTATGTCAATATAAGTAGCACACACAGTTATTAAACTAAGTATTCTCCAGTATTTAGTTTTAATCACCTAATATCAATTCATTGTTATATTTTTAAAATTACTAAATGGTATATATAATACTAACAGGTAGAGTTTTAAATATCATTCTAGTTCTTGTTCTTATTTTGATGGAACTTTTCTGATAAATGAAAATTATTTGGTAGAACATCGTTTTCAGTCAGTCAGTCAGCTACAACGTAGGACCAGGCACATATGTGCATCGGTCCAGGTTGCCATACCTCATTAGCACAGCAAGATGGACACCGGATTCATAGGAGTGGTTAGGTCAAAGGTTGCAATAAGGATATAGTATAGGAAGAAAGAATTAGTTAGTAGAAAGAAAGATATGAAGTCATTTTAATCTCTTAGTTTAAGGGAAGACAGGGAGTGTATACACCGACGCCATTGTGATCGATTCTGAGCCATGTCACCAAGAGTCTCCAACCATTGGTTACGAAAGTCACGCGGACCCCAACCAAGTAGTCTGCATCTACCAACATGGCTCAGACTAGAAGTTAGTGACTTCAGGCACTGATGCCACGTTTTGGTTTGGCCGCCCCTAACTTTCTTCCAACCATCCCCTACACCGGTTAGCATTGCACGTCGTGGTAATCGGTGTTCAGGCATACGTAATACGTGGCCCAACCATCTCAGTCGATGAAGATTCATAACCTCATCAACTGATTTACCATTATTCCCTAATACCCTGCGTCTAACCTCACTATTACTTACCCGGTGGTCCCAGCAGACGCCAGCAATATTTCTAAGGCATCTGTGGTCAAATACTAATAACTTACGAGTGTCTTCTACTCTTAAAGGCCATGTTTCGCTGCCGTAAAGTAAGACAGAACGGACTGTCGCGCAGTATACTCGTCCTTTTATTGATAGACGGATATCTCGCCTCCGCCAAAGGTGACGTAAGTTGGCAAAAGCCAAGCGAGCTTTTCGAATCCGTGCTGAGATTTCGTCAGACACCAACCCATTAGGGCTGATCAGACTTCCAAGATAAGTGAAGTTGTCGACGCGTTCGACTACTTCACTCCCTATCCTTAGTTCAGGTGTTGACGCAGACCAGTCCTGAAGCAACAAATTGCATTTAGAGGGAGAGAAGCGCATCCCAAACATTCTGGCATTGTTGCTTAGTGCTACCAGAAGACTCTGCATTTTATCAGCGTCTTCACCAAACAGGACTATGTCATCTGCGTATTCTAATTCGATAAGTGGACCTCCTGGAAGGAGATCAATGCCCAATGCGATAATGCCCAAGCCATGCAATCCGCACTTAATCATTTGGCAATCAATGTACGTAGGTATAGTATGTGCTTCGCACCTTCGAGAGGTGCAAAGTACTTCTACAAGACTGGCAGGATTGTAATCGTGTACTCACCCTGGATGGTGAGCAGATAGAAGTAGTCGAGAAGTTCGTGTATCTAGGTAGCTGCATAAGTGCTGACGGGGGTGTGAGTGATGAGATAAATACACGTATAGTGAAAGCCAAAGCGGCTTATGCCAATCTGGGCCACCTTTGGCGCCTTCGTGATGTCAGTCTGGCTGTAGAAGGTCGGATCTACAAGGCATCGGTGAGAGCAGTTCTGCTCTATGCTTGTGAAACCTGGTCTCTCCGAGTTGAGGACGTTAGACGACTCTCTGTGTTCGATCATCGCTGTCTCCGAAGGATTGCTGATATCCAGTGGCAACACCATGTCAGTAATGCAGAGGTTCGGCATCGTGTGTTCGGGCACAGAGATGATAACTCAATTGGTGTCACCATCTTGAAACACCGACTTCGGTGGCTTGGATATGTTCTCCGAATGTCGTCCAAGAGAATTCGACGTCGTGCATTATTTGCCGACTCTGGGACTGGTTGGAAGAAGCGGAGAGGTGGTCAGTGCATGACATGGTGTCGTGGCATGAAAAAAAGCTGCAAAGGACTGGCTTGTGTTGGTCCTTCACGACTCCCTGGTTGGGGTCCGAGAGATGGTGCTACACAGTGGCTAGAGACGTTATCAGATATGGCTCAGAATAGAAGCCAGTGGTAATCCTGCTGTAACCTTCTTTTACTTTCTTCATAAAAAGTGGTTGTGTCTGTCTTAACTGAAAGAATTCTTCTTGTTGTACCTTTTCGTTTACCCCATTATTATTATTACCACACTACCGTACGCTAATCTGTGGTCATTATTGTTCTTTTTTCTTTTTTTTTCTCTTCCCATTCTCATTATTTCGTGTGGCGCGTATATATATGGTGCCCTCTTGTACCAATATTTATGTGTTCAAATAAATAAATAAATGTAATAAACTGTACATAATCTACCATTTGAAGTGGCATTTTTTCTATTGCTCGAGTTTTATTTCCTATTTGCGGTAAAGGATTAAAACATCCGAAAACTAGAAAATATCAAGGAATACTGTGTCTAAAGTGTTTAGCGTACAAGACTTATCAGTGTTTCGCGTATCAATCGGTTATCATTTATTGATTATTTTCATTTTCTGCCTCATAAGTGATATTTGCCTACTAAGTTATTCAACTGAGTGTTTTGATGAGGTATGTCTTCATTTTTAGTGACTGGTAACAAGTGATATTACTATTTATAACTATGTTAAGCGGTTGTATGATGAGGTTAAAGTTTCTCTACTCTATTGTTTGACTTATCATGCTACATCGTTTAAATAAATCCTATAGTAATATGGTACAAAACATACGTAAAGATTTATATTGTTGATGAGTGAGTCATAGACGAAATGTTACCTTTGGATATTAGTGTTGCTTAATAAACCATAAGATATTTTGGGTTGGTGATTGTATTCATCAACCATACAACTCGTCATTAAATTAAACTAAAAATTATAGCTCTTTAACTTATCTAAACTATTTAAAATAAATCATTTCAGCTTCTTGTAATATCTACAGTTTACTAAATTATTGTATTTGTTGTGTATAGAGTTTTCTTGAAAATAACTAGAATGTTTTTCCATTTTCTATTATCTTTCATTGTTAGTCTACTTTCTTGTTTGCTTGGTGTACATTTCCCTGGGACCGGATGTGTTTTACATGCAATAAATTGTAAATTCCCAGAACCATGTAAGTTTTTATTTTTAATCAGTATCTAGTTTCTTTTAATCTGTGTTAGTTGTATAAGTAGTTTGAAGCTAAATATGTTTATGCATTTAGCCGGCAGGAAACCTTTAGCCTAAATTTCATACTAATTGACACTCATCAACTAGGTATGCTTGAAATCTTGAAAGAATTAATGCTGTGTGTATGTTTTAAAAACACGTTACTCAGCTCCAAAGTATAAGTTCGAGAAATTTTGTTCTTTATCCCTCCCCATCATCGACTGTATCAAGGCACTTAGGGGAAAAATAAAGAAATTAGTTGGAAAGTGTAAATTACCATGTTTAATGAACTAGGATCTACCGTTTAATGCTTTAATGGATAAATATTCTTATATTGTAAGAGAAAGACCTAGAGTGCATTTATCTAGCTGTAGTGTTGAGTACTTTTTTAAAATTTTATTTCTAACAATCATGTTTTTCAGTCAGTTTTTAGTTATATAGTTTATGTTTTTAATTGCATAATTGTGGAGCGGACGACTATTTTGTTCATAATAATTCTAAGTAAAGCTTGGCAGATCAGTATAGTTCAACCAACTGATGTAGTTTTTGTGACAGTAATAATCTAAAGAAAACAAGGAAGCCATTGACAATCTTAGGGTGTAAAACAAAGGTTACATTCTGTTTTCGGGTTTCTCAGTTTTAAACACATGAAAGCTTAAATTCTATGACTTAATGACAGTAGTAAACATCTTTTACATAGTTGCTTCAAACAGAAAAAGTGTTATTTGAGTTCCAGTTAATCTACCTTCATGATTGATGGATTTTTTGTCTTGGTAAATAATCAGTCATCATAAAATGGTTGTAACGCGTTGTAAATGATAGCGTGGACGACTAAATAATTAAGTCGGATCGATCTAAAGCATTACATCATTCTTGGACGTTTACCACTGACTGTTTGTCTTGATACGCAAGTTAATTAGTGATTGAATATACCTTCTCTCCCTGAAAATTTTGTTTTACAATATTACGAGTTGTAGTTCATTAATTTAGTAAGTGATGAACATATTAACTAGATTTTTTAGCAAATAATCTAGATACCTTACTTTTAGGTTATACAACTAAGATTTTAAGCTACTCAATTGTATCTTTTCAGTAGTGATAATATCTCTACTTTGAATAAAAATAAAGAAAATTCAGTTAAGAAAATTCTCTTTCCGATGAATTCATTTACTTAAACTGCACATTTGTATTTATGATTATATGGAAATATATGTCTATAGAAGGATAGAAAAGTCTGCATCATAAATTGATTCGAGACTCTTATTATCAAATGAGGTAATGCAAAAATCAAGAGGGTAAGAGAAGGATAGAAGGCTGGAAATAATTCACGGGTCTGAATTATGAAAGATAATTATCCACTTGACAGATATGAAGAGAAACGAAAAACACATAGGTCATAATGATGAGGAATGAATAATAATCATGAAAAATTGTTAAATGGTAATAATAACTGGTTACGGTTAAAAATTACAAAACACCAACAAAAAATCAATAATAATAATAATAATAAATAAAAATAAAAAGTGAAATAAAAATGGGAGAAAAGTCTAAACATACTATATAAAAGGGAATTAGGGCCAAGGAACGATGAGAGGTTATACATATTGCTTTTGCACGCGAAGTTCGAGATTGAGTTGGTGGATTACCAGTGCCTCAGCAGTGCATAAGATTTTCATTCGACCTCCCTTCGGTCTAATTCCTTTGACTGTGTAGATTATTTTGGACTTTGAGGATAAAGAATGAATTAAGTTCCTCTTTCTACCCAGTGGGACCTAGCTATAAAATTTCGTGTACTGCTCATTTCAGATCGGTTTTCTGTAAAAAACCATCTGACCTTTTCAACCGGATATCAAGAAAATGAAGTCCCTGTTTTGCCTCTGAGTATATGAATGATAATTTCATTATTTGTGAGAAAAAGAGGGACCTCAATGCAATTCTGGATAGTTTCAATAATTGTCAATCCCCTTCCCTTAATTCAGTTCACGTTAGGAGCAGAAGCAACGGACACATCGCTCCAAAGGAATCTTCTTTCAAAATAATCTACACAGTCAAAGGAATTAGACCGAAGGGAGGTCGAATGAAAATCTTATGCACTGCTGAGGCACTGGTAATCCACCAACTCAATCTCGAACTTCGCGTGCAAAAGCAATATGTATAACCTCTCATCGTTCCTTGGCCCTAATTCCCTTTTATATAGTATGTTTAGACTTTTCTCCCATTTTTATTTCACTTTTTATTTTTATTTATTATTATTATTATTATTGATTTTTTGTTGGTGTTTTGTAATTTTTAACCGTAACCAGTTATTATTACCATTTAACAATTTTTCATGATTATTATTCATTCCTCATCATTATGACCTATGTGTTTTTCGTTTCTCTTCATATCTGTCAAGTGGATAATTATCTTTCATAATTCAGACCCGTGAATTATTTCCAGCCTTCTATCCTTCTCTTACCCTCTTGATTTTTGCATTACCTCATTTGATAATAAGAGTCTCGAATCAATTTATGATGCAGACTTTTCTATCCTTCTATAGACATATATTTCCATATAATCATAAATACAAATGTGCAGTTTAAGTAAATGAATTCATCGGAAAGAGAATTTTCTTAACTGAATTTTCTTTATTTTTGTTCAATGACCTAATGGGTTATTTTAATTATCTCTCCTTTAATTTATTCATTCATTTGATCACAGTATTTGTTGATGAAACATGTCGAATTGAAGCTCTAGTATCTAAATTACGTGGAAGACTAGCTACTTTCGATGTAAATGCTTATGCCTACGACAGAAATGCGGTAAATTTTTACTTTATTTTTTCGCATTATTTTGCGCTCAAGACAATAAAGTGAATTTCGAAGCTGTTCTAAATCATATATGAAGTTATTTTTTTTCGAATATTAAGCTAGTATTCGTATAAATTATTTTGTATTAACTGTAATTTATTTCCTCCTTCATTGTGTGGTTATGCAGTACTTGTTCAATTCGGTGTTTTTCTATCCGTTATTGAGAAAACAAATATCTTGAAGATGTCTATAAAAATTGCATTTAGGTAAATTTATACAAAATAGTATATATATGTAGCGAACGGGACTTGGCGGGGATGATCAATTTATTGTGTCTCCATAAATTCTGAAAACCATACATTAAATACTTCATTTGCACATCTTCACTCAGTTGTCCTTTACATCCTTCATGATTGTTTCGATTCTGCTTTTATTCCAATTCTTTTCTAATTTTCTTTCGGTTTTCTTCAGTTCAGTCTTCTGATGCCAGCCATCCCATTTCTGATTGGTGTTACATGCTACTTATATCTGTTGACATTAGTAACCTACACCACATATATAGTGAAATATTAATTTACTCTATACTTGAATTTGATAGATAAGGAGAATATGTTAACTTTTAAAGTTGATGTAAAAATGATTGGTTTGAAGTGTAAATAAAATTCTGAAATTCACATAATTTATTCAGTATTGAATGATTTAGAGTTATTTAATGTGAAAAACTTGTAGATGAAATTAATTTTAGCTGTTTTTCAGAAAATAATTTAATTTATTTAAATCAAAGATTTGAAACACAACGAGAACACAAAGGTTTGCAGAATAAAATGAATTCGTTATTCTATTTCATGGTTTCGCATTAGCTGCATACAACCTACAACAATTATGATTATTCATATAACTATTCCCAAATGTTTAGTATACTTTAATTTGTGAAGTTTAAATAAATGTTCGAAACGTGACCCAAATTATAATCATTAAAGGAATAAGGATACAAAGTGGATACACATCGATCTTATTATTATTATTATTATTATTATTATTATTATTATTATTATTATTATTATTATTATTATTATTATTATTATTATTAGCTTTATTCAACATCATGTTTTTGGTACAACGTAGAATTCTCAGCATAAAGTATTTCAACAAGATTCCTTTTCTTATATCTTGATCGATTGTGACGTTAAATTTTGAATGATGACCAGTTAGATGTTAGGAGTTTGGTAATCCACATTTGATTAATGTTCATTCGTTTTAATGCATATTGCCAGCCACCATTATGTCGCTGATTGTACTTTTTTGTATCCCGTATATCGAAAGGTTGTAAACTTTTCATAAACGCGCCTGAACAGATTGTGAGCACAATAGACATAATGATGTGCTAAAACAAACAACAAAACAGATAACTTGAAGAAATATCTAGATCGGAGAAACAGGTAGCCCAGATATTCAAGCAGGCCGCCAATAAGGTGTGTTTATTCACGCATTTTGCAAAGCTTTTTGTTGTTGCTCGGGTTTGTCAAGGAATCTCGTTGTATTGTGGTGTGTGCTACTGATTTCGACAGATATAAGTATTGTGTATCATCAATCGAAATTGAAATGTCTGGTGGCAGAAGGTTAAGAAGATCTAAGGAAAGAGAACGAGTATAGAGAATGATTGATGTGAAAATGAAAGAACGATGAAGTCTGAAACGATTGATTGACATTTTGCAGAAGGAACATTCAAGTTTCAGACAATTGATTGACATTTTGCATATGAAGTATTTACTGTATGGTTCTCAGATTTTACTAAGAAATTCTGTAATTGTGTTGAAATACATTTAGTTATCATCACTGGTGTTTTCGTTCACTACAGTATGAATAATGTTAAATTACAATGATAACAAGGAATACATAATAGAGTGAATAAATATTTTCAATAACTTATTTTTCAGGCTCTATTCTTCACATTAATAATCCTAGGATTATTTTTCTGTTTCATTAGGTGAAAATTACTAAAGTCTGTATAGTATAAAGATTGCAGTTGAATTAATTAGTGTGTTATAAACTCAAAATAATAGATTTCATTTTGATTTACTTTTAAACATTAAAGTGATATCATTAAAAATGTATCATTGGGATAGTTAAACGTATAATTATGTGCAAAATAATATGCGAAAGAGATTTTTGTGGATATTATAGTAATTTAATAGTTGAGATTATGTATCAATTGAAGCTAGACCATCATTGAAAACTTGGAAGCACTGGATGGCCGTTTCGTCCTATTGTGGCACTCCTCAGCATTTCGCATCCACGATCCCGCCTCACGAGATTCGAACCCAGGTTTTCCATGGTGGTCTAGCTTCAATTGACTCATGATCTCAACTGTTAAATTGAAATAATATGCCTTAAGATGATAAATTATAATCAGTAGATGAAAACATTCTATGAAAAATCGTATGTTAAAAATTGATTCAATGTAGGTTTTGTTGTTTCGTAATTATCTTAATGAGAGTAACAATAATCATTCATACATTCAGAAAGTATATCATTTAAAATGAAAGGGATGTATGTGTAGTTAAGAATGAGAAAAAAATGACATGTTAGGGAGTATATATGAGAATAAAAAGAAAAGCTGGTTATGTTTATGTATTCTGTTAAAATTGGTTTAAGAATACGATGACTTTATTGTTAACCAAAGTAAACCAAGACATTAAATGGATCCTTTTAGTACAGGTTTTTTTAGAATTGATACCATTTTCTTCAGCTTTACAAAATAAGCGTTATCTTAAACTTCTTGATGAATTATTCTGAAATCGGTGTATAACTATGAAGTATCTTCTATTTTGATATCATATTCATAGTCAATTATATGGAAAAGAGTGACACCATTAATAGATTTGTTAAATTTTTACTAACCATGTCGGCATGTGTTCACCAACGATCTAGAATAAGGGTCTTTAATTACGGCCAATATAACTACCCTTACCTTAGTACTTACATTGCTAAAGACGCATAAGTGAGCCTATCGTTAGTATCTTAGCTTTGATTCACTCCTTCAGTATTGGTTTCATTGAGGAAGTGACGTGTAATTTCACAGGTTTAAAATTTGTTTTAATAAATCTACTCAGTCAATGTGTAAGAACTTTACTTGCTCTAATATTACTTTCGAAATCAAATTTTAGGCAGAGAGGTTTCTTTTCGTTTATGACAGTACATATCTCGTTTTTTGGTTCTTTTACGTATTTCCTTATGAATGATAAATTACTAATCATAAATTAATTTGTTTAAATTGATACTTCACAAAAAAACTTAAAAGTTATTGAATAATCTTTCTAGAATATTTGTAATGTGTAATTTTATGTCTACAAACTATTTTTTTATGTTTTATAGAATGTTCTCACTGGTTATTTCGATGTATTTCTAACACGTGAACAACTTTCTTTAAAGCCACCAGTTGATAATCAAATTGTCTATCATATAGATTAATTCGTTAATGCATTAACCTTAAATGTACATATGTAAATATAATGCTAATAAATGAAATTATATATGTTAATGTTTATTTCGGAATAATAAAACCATATTCTTCTTAAAAAAAGATCGTCTACTTTCTTTGACTGATGGGAAAATCTGTGTGGTTGGTTGTCTCAGCTTTTGTTGGTTACATGTATCGGGTGGGCTGTGTGTTCACATTGATCTTGTGTTAACATACCATGATACTTTTTAAGATAAAAGTTAGTAATCTATCTATGCTGGAGTAATGAATCTCTCATCTATCACCATTGGCAGCCAAATCAGTGATTATGAAAACAGTTTTTCTATGTATATCCAAAACATTATTTGATAAGAGCAATAGTTTCTACGATCCTAAAAACCGGGATATAATGAATGTCCCTACGTTTTAGTTCAAGGATAATCGTGCTGAACTATGGTTTGAAGGCTAGACTACTGAACTGCTGAATAATGTGTCAAAATTCTTAGTCTCTTTAAACCTAGGGATAATAAGGTATTTACATTTTTCATTTTATTGTTGATATTATGGTTTGCTGAAAAAAATTAGATGGTGTTAATTTTTAAGAAAAAACCCGAAAATGATGTTCGTTTACTAAAACAGACTCAACTGACCATCCTGACAATTAGATGGGACAGGTAATATAATAAAAATCTATATTGATTAAACACTTATTGTTTAGACTACAGTAAATTTCTTTCAAAGGAAAAATTTCAACATAATTCTTTTTGTGTAATAAACAGTCGGTTATGAAATCAAGAGGGCAACATTTCGAACTATACTTATTTAAACATATAAACATTGGTACATGGGAGCTACAAATATATATGTGCCACACTTCGCCATTCGATCTATATGAGGGATGAGATACTGTCCGGGCGCCGAAACCAAAGCAGGTGGTTTACTTACGAGGTCACTTCTTTAGCCTCTGACCTAGGGGTCTAATCCACCAGGCGTGGAGTAAGATTAGGAGATGCAGTCCAGTAGTAGCCACTGATCAACAATAGGTTGATATGCCATTTGTTTCCTCATGATCCTGGGGCCACTGTGCACCACTGGTTTGTAATCAGAATTTTCGAACTCCCCTAGATGGATCCTCCGTACCCACCAACTTGGTTGAAGCACCAGACATTTACTTTTCGTAAACAGCACCCTTCGCGAGATCAGCAAACACATTTGTTTATAGAGATGTTCAGTATAAATAAGGTTTTAGAAAAACAAACTCACTGAAATTAAGAGCGAATACTCTTTTATGGTAGACTTGATATATTAATTGGGAATTGTGTGATGAACATGAGTTTTATCATTCTCTAAATAAAAGTATGCACTTCTTGCCTTGAAAATCAGATAAGAATACTAGAATTATATAGTCGAATAACGGTTGATACTCTAGATAATCAACCAAAATTATTTTGTCTGTATGTTGAAGGTGTAGTCGAATGACACAACTCCAGTTAGATCATCCAAGTCTCTATTCTATAATTAAGATCATCTCCTAACACACTGAAACATAACATCAATTCAAATCATTGTAAAATAAGAATATCAGTGTTTATTAAACTCTTGATATATTTAACGTATACGAATACTATCGTATCACAACTACTTCACACATAAAGCTAGAAAATGAATAAGTTCATAACACTAGCATTGCAAGTCGTAAAAGATATATAGACAACCAATGATGTAACATAGAACTGCTCTAACATGTATAATAATTGAGTATTGTCATGTGATACTACTTTCACTGTCCAGACAGATGTTTTAGTTCTTTTGTCGAAAGGTGAATGTAGGTTTTTATCTATTTGTTTTGTGATTTATACGCAAACAGATGGATTATTATAAATGTGTTTTTGAAGATTGTTAAGTTTCATAGTTTAGATGACGGATTGATTTCAGTCAGACAACAGATGAGAACTATGATGCTCCAGACAGCTGTTTTGTCCTTGTATGTGACTACACAACAACATGTACCCACGATCTTACAGACGATCGAATCCAAGAACTTCAAGTCTCACTGTGAGCGACTAACTTTTAGACTACTTAGCTATAATATAATTGTTTGCATGTCTAACTCAGAAGAAACAAATATCCAATACTTTCTGATTTTTACTGGTTGCTCACAATCAGTCCGTAATGCAAACTATGGGATTAATTTAGAGCTAACTTGTGATTTTTTATGTATATTTATTCATTTGTCATGGTAAAATACACTCAACATTTTCATGGAGTTTTCTATTGTTAATTTAAGAAGCATAGCAGCACGGATAAGGATTACTACTCCCTTTATAAATAATGATCATCAATCATTTTTTTAGCAATAAGGATAGTTAGCACGTTGTTATTTCATAACTCGGGGTTATTATAAATGGCTGCATACAAAACCAATTTCATTGTAATCGAATCATGCGAAAATTTAATTTTCGGAACGATGGTTAAGCTGAATAGGATTGGCTAGTGGCAGTCAAACTCCACCTGGAGCGCCCGCAGAGTTACTACCAGTCCTTGACCCGAGGAAAGAATGAGGTTTTGGGGTAGGGTTAGTAAACTCACACCGTAAAAACCCTTGCTATTAAACGCCATCTAGAGAGAAGCATTTAAACCTTTAAAGCTGTTCACTGGACATTGAAGACTCTTTGTTTTGAAGAGTTACGACACCTCAAACTGAAAGTCAAGATTCCTCGGAAACCGCCAGGCTAGTGCCCATTTCGATAACCAGAGTCGCATTTGATGTAACTACGTGAATTCTTCAGACAATGTTGGTGATTGAGAGGATCATTCGAATAGTGGTGAAAATGAAAAGATACAACCACATGAAAACTGGCGTCAGACAGGATGCCTACCCTTGCTTTTCCGCTTTCTGTTTGTTCGGAATTCATTTGGAACTGTGATAATCGCTTTATAGAAATGCCCTAATTTGTATCAGTATTTGAGCTGCAACATAGTCATGCACATTACTATACAACTATTAGAAAAATACTTTTATTAATCCCACCAACCAGATTGGTCAAGCATAATACTAAATGATCAATAATTAAATATTCAGGAATTATGTTATAAGACACCTAACAGTATTAATCATTAGAGTTTATTGCTAAATGGTGTCGAGAAAAACGTTCATCTAGAGAGATTAAGAAACCTTTATGATTGAACTTTTTGCATAGTTCAAGTAATCGACAATACCTGATATGTGATAACTAAAGCATAAACAGCCCTGAACTGATCATTTCTTCCTAGTTTATTTTTCCTTCTAGACAGTAATTCCATTACTACAGGTTGATATCAGCTGTACTACATCTTTGTGAATACTTTTATTATCCATTAGCATGTTGGTATACCCGTTAAATTATTTTCGCAAATATCCTGAGTATATTATTATTAGAACCGAAAACTATCAATAAAATATTTCGATCCCGATTTAATTGATGAAGTAGATTCAGATGGAATTGAATGAATTCAATCCGTGTTTTTAAAACAGCCCTATTAAATTAGGACAAAATCTAGCAATGAAATCCAACAAGTACGTTTTGTCCCACTTGGTACTCGTCAGATGAACGCCTCTCCATTCCAGTATCCATGTTCACATCGAAACTTAAACCTAGTACCGCTTGCTTCAAATGCCCTACGGCTTATCCACTGAACGTTTGCAAAGAAGCATGAATTCTATTTTCAAGGCATTATATTTCCCTAGTTTTAATATTATACACTATAACTGTTTAATCTCTTCTGATACTTGTAGATCTTGAGTAGATTACTTTTACATTTACGTAACCAAAAAATTCACTAATAACTTGTTGTAACTTGTGACCTGAGTGTCCTGTTAATGTATAACGTAATGATACCGCCAATTAGAGAGCAGTGAATTATCGATCGGACCAAGGACGCATAAAACACGTGCGAGCAGTCTAGATTAATTATCAGTCCTTCTTCCTGCCTAGCCCAGCCAATTAAGTCCAGAACACCAATCTCAGCCTCTGCGATATGAATCATTTATTTCAAACATACTGGGTTTATATATCAACCAGACAGACCACAACGTACCATAAAATAGAAAACAACAATTTTACAAGAAGTAGCCAAATGTGGCTGTGAATGTGAGAGGTAGTAATTAATAGACAGGGAATAATTCAAGAATGGTAAATCGTATAATAATAGTTCATAGATTAAAATAAAGCTCATAATAAGAGGGACATGTATATGAGCAGTTTAGCTATTTAAGAGTTATACGATAAAAATATACGCATAGTATTGATCCATAAATGGATCTCAAAAGTTACCATTCATTATGCTTATTAGGACCTAACATAACTAATGGTTTTATTTTGTTTAAAATAATAATTTCATTATTGAATAATTTTTTAAATTTAATTTAAAATTGAAATAAATAATGTTAGATTTGTATCAGAAGGGGGTTCGTGGAGATTGTAATAATTTCAACGGTTGAGACCAGGAGTCAAATGAAGGTAGACCACCATGAAAAACCTGGGAACACTAAACGGCCGTTTCCTCGCATTGCGGGACACCTCAGCAGTGAGCATCCACGATCCCGCACCCCACAAGGTTCGAACCCAGGACCTACCAGTCTCGAGCCAAGCGCTTAGCCAACTAGACCACTGGGCCGGCACCAAACGGTGTTAATGTCTAACTTTAACCAATCCATGAAGTTGCGCCACTGTACACCATTATCATCAGTGAGTTGATATCACACAACTGACCCGGTTGGACTCCACTGGTCATTGCTTCCCACTAGAACTCCAGGAAATATCTCTTGAAGCCAGTCACTAGTGAGCATATGTTGATTCATATCAGAAGGGGTTTTGTGGAGAGTGTAGTAATTTTAATAGTTGAGATCATGAGACAAGGATTCGAATCTCACGATGCAGGATCGTGGATGCGCACTGATGAGGAATCCCACAATAGGACGAAACGGACATCCATTGCTTCCAGGTTTTCCATGGTGGTCTAGCTTCAATTG